TGCTGTCATTTATATATGATGTGACTCAGGAGTTAGAGTGATTGTCCACGAGTCAGAGGGTCGGTGGTTTGATCCCTGGCTCCTGCAATCAATGTGTCAAAGTGTCCATAAGCAAATCACTAAGCCACAAATGAATGTCAACGGTGTGTGAATGTCATGAACGTTTTGGAAGCAGATACTTTGTTAATCCTTTCACCACTACAAGCAACAGTTACAAGCTACGCTAGCCGCAAGCTAGTCTGCACAAGCTACGCTACAAGCTACGCTGAAAGCTGTAAGTAAGCCACAGAACACCAAGAGAAAACATCATGCCTGGAGATAGACACAAAGGACGATGCCGTAAACGAGGGACCCCCTCAAGACCGTCATTGACAGTCATATCTGTGACAGAAATGTGTTCAGCTGTGTGGCAAGCCCTGTAACTGACAGCCTTGTGGACACGATAAGAAGAAGTTAATCCTTTGTACATTTCAAAGCCTCTGCTGCTGTATGAATGTGCATGATTAGGTCAAGGCTGACATGTGTTGTAAAAGTGCTTTGAGTGGTCTAGTAAAGCTCTATATAGATGCAGTCCATTTACTGCATTTCACTGTATGAACTCTGGTATCCTGTTGTATCTCTCCCCTTGTCTGTCAGACTCCTGGAGAGCCAGCTGCGCAGTCAGAGCCGTCACAGGGAGGAGGAGCTGGAGGCTCTGAGGGGCCAGATCAGTGCAGCTAGCTGTGGCTCTTCCTCTGCTGCAGGGCCACAGGTAGAAGAAGAAAAACACTTCTGCTAAAAAAACGATGTATACGTTTAGGAAAAAGGGTCATTATGCTACCATCTTCCCAAAAGTCCCTTCCTACTTTCCTCTCTTTGACTTAATCACATGCAGTCTATAAAGTAAGAGCTGGATTTTGGCTGCTTGTAATCCTGATGAAAAGTTCAAGCTTTTTCTGTTTCTACTAGGTCAGTGTGCTTTTAGAGCATTAGCTTTACAGGCCAAACAATCCTAAATGCAAGTGTGTGTTTGTGTGTGAAGGAGCTGCAGGAAGTACTAGAGGCCAAAGAGCAGGAGTGTGTGAGACTGAGGAGAGAGCTGAAGGAGCTTAAAAAGACAGTGTCGCTCAGACGACTCCTGACACAAGGTACGGTTTCATCAGGAGCTTACATTCAGAGCTTTTGGTTTGCCATGCACGTTCAGATTTAATATGTTTGGTGGGTTTTCTTCATCACTGAAAGGGATTAATGAAATATAACGTTTAAAAATGTTTTTTACATATGACTTCTCTTAATGCATTTTTATGACATCATAGTATATAGCTTTATTTTGATCATTTATTGAATGATGTTGAACCATAGTTAAGAGCAGATGAGTCAACACTAATTATATCATTAGATCAAAAGTTCACATAAATAAAGGGCCTTCATGATACTGCCCTTTTTATCTCAAGAGGGTAATGCAGTCCAACATTACATTATTTAATGTTCTCCCCTGTCTTTTTAGTTTTTGCTGGTGCTGTTGTTTAAGTTGTTTGTGTTGTGATGTTTTCCAGTTCTCCCGTCAGCGTTCACTGCAGAGACTTCCTCCTGTCCTTCCCGATCAAAGCCAGCAGCCACTGGTTTGCTGGAGTGCAGAAAGAAGGATGAAAACAAGCTCATTAAAAACCTCATCACAGGTGAGAGAGTACACAACAAACATACACAACTATATGTTTTAATACGTAAGCTTTCCTGCTTTTTAAAAGGGCTTTAATTATAAATGACTTCCTATAATCGTATAATATTGGCGAAAAATCCAATCGGGGGATGTTTTTTAACTTATTTATTCATGAAAATAAATTACAAACCATACTCTGCCTATGTATACAATGAAGCCTGTGGGACTTTTTCTTGAAGCAGTTGAATTAACACTTGTATAATAGAATAATCTATATTTTATTGAATCATTTGAGAGCTTGAACTCAACCACCAGTAATATATTTTTAGAATTTAATTATTCAAGAGTGCAATATTTTCTTCATTGGTATTTGTACTGCTTTAAACAAGCATCCATCCTTATTTTATTTGCAGTTTAGGACTGCATCATAGTGAATCCTTGGAGGAAATGTGCCGTTATCATTTGCTTATTTGAAATATACATCAACAACAGAAGAATGTGTATGAGGATAATGTGACACAGAATGACATTTGAACGTCCACTACTTGATCTGTAGCTGACACGTCTGACCTTGTACCCTCTGCTGCTCTCTCTGTCTGTGGAGCAGACGTCCGTGTGGACAGCGCCCTCTCTGTTCCTCCCGGCCTGCCTGCCAGCGTCCTCTTCCTCTGTGTCCGTCAGGCGGACTGCAGCGGGGATCAGACGCAGGCCCGCTCCCTCTGCAGCGCCGCTGTCACCGCCATGAAGGCTGCTCTGAAGGTAACCCCGTTCTGAGTCTGCTTGGTGCACCATATGGTGGAGGTTTAATGTGTAAGGGTGGAGCGCATCATGCCACTTACAGAGAAGTATGGACAAACTGACTTTGAACCACTTTCAAGTCTTGTTGCAGAGGTTTTGGACCAACTATCTGGCCCCTAAGGAAAAAGATAAATGCTCGATTTAACATATATTAGAGGAATTTCACCTTCAGTTTCTACAGAGGTGGATAATAAAGTAAATATAATCCAATACAAAATAAATCACACAGCAAAGCCCATCGAGCTCTTACAGATATACCCAATAGCACTGAGAATGTTATCATTTCATCACATTTCTGTCAATCTCCATGTGATAATATAACCTTTTTCCATCCGGTCTGTCCCTGCAGAAACACAGTAAAGACGTAGACATGACAGCTCTGTGGCTGAAAAACGCCTGTCTGCTGCACGACCTGCTGCGCCAGCACTCCCCGAAACAGGTAGGATAATCATGTTTTTACTATTCAATTCTCCTACCATATTTATGTTTATAAGATGACACACTAAAGCCAATTCTTAGAGTGTGTAAACTTGCCAGTAGATCAGATTCTGATTAATTGATTCCAAGTTACCTGGATGAATGCATTGATTACTTTTTCAGACCTTTGACTCGGACGACCTAGCTCCTCTGACCGTTGATCTGAGTGACTTGATCCGTGCCCTGAGTGACCTCTGCATCCAGGCCTATCAGCAGCTCCTCTCCATCACTGAAAAGCGCCTGCAGAACATCATCGGTACCGCTATAATAAAGACAACACTGATGCTATGGGTCTCTACCCTCCACTTTCTCCTCTCATCTGCCCTCCTGCTGCCTCTTCCCTTTAGTCCCTGCTATGCTGGAGAGTGAGACCATCCCCGGTCTCTCTGTCTCCACGGTGAAGTTGGTAGCGTCCAGAAAGCGAGCCGGCTCTGACCCCCAGCCTGTGGGAGGCGATGCTCCCTCGATGGCGGCGGTGCTGAGGGAGCTGGGGGCGCTGCACACCGCCCTGTCCCATCAGGCTCTGCCCCCCTCTCAGATGGAGCAGGCCTTCCACCAGCTCACCTACTTCATCTCCGCCTCCGCTCTCAACAGCCTGCTGCTGAGGAAAGACATGTGCTGCTGGAGCCGTGGCATGCAGATACGGTAGAGAAATACGCTGATACAGTATATATACACATATCATATTATAGTATATGTTCATTAAGATATGCTATACTATAAATGTCTGAAAGAAAAGTTCAAAAAGGTTGATGTGTCATAAAAGTGTCTTAATACAATGTCTTGAACACGCCATATAAGAAGTCACACTAAAAAAAAAGTAATTGTACAGTATGTCATAAACATGTAAAAAAAAGTCATCTTATGTCATACAAGTATTGACATGACATTTGTGTAGCATGCATATATAACACTATTATAACTTGCCTTTTTGGACGTATTATAGTATAACATTTTTATGATTTCAATGACATACTGTACTATACAATGACTTTTTTATGGAATTGTATATGACCCTTTTTTATAATTTAATTTAATTTTGTCCCGCTGTGCTTGTATCATTGTATTCACCCCATTGAGAGGATGTTATCTTAGTAAACATATTTGATAACTGTTTAATCAGCCTGTTTTTTTGCTATTCTCACTAAGCTATAATGTGAGTCTGCTGGAGGAGTGGCTGCGGAGCAAAGAGCTGCAGGCAGGGGGCACTGTTGCCACACTGGAGCCCCTCATCCAGGCGGTTCAGCTGCTGCAGGCCGGGAAAAAGAGCGAGGCGGATGCAAAGGCCCTCGTTCAGACCTGCACTGCCCTGTCCAGCCAGCAGGTGGGTCTACGTCTGTTTTTGGCCTAATAGGAGAAAAATGCAGTTAAAGTATAATTTATTGTATAATATCGGTTTTATTTTACAGATTGTGAAGATCCTGACCCTCTACACGCCCCACAGTGACCTCGATGAAAGAGTCACACTGAATTTCATCCGTACTGTCCAGGTAATGTCTCAATCCTGCATGTTTTTAATGATTTAATCAGTGTTTCTCATGTGAGTTGTCTCTCTTCCAGGGTCTTCTGAAAGGCTCCTCTGACGGCCAGCCTCCGCAGCTCCTCATGGATGTGAGACGAGTGTTTCCTGTCACATTTCCCTTCTCGCCTCCTGCCGCCCTCCACGCTGAGCAGTTAGTCATCCCAGACTCCCTCAAGATCTCCTTTCTACGCAGAGCCTAGAACAGCATGCCCTTGTCAATTAAAAATGTGGTAATTTTGTATCTAATTTGAACTTCCAACCTATTTAATGTAGTCCTTTGAAATGTAAATAACTTCCAGGAGGTGTTGTGAACCTAATTCCTGATTTTTGTATAGTGGCACTTACCTTGTTTAATTAATATGTTAATTATCAGTGGATTAGTGACTGAACTGCAGAAGGTCACAGGTTAATCATGTAAATCTTAGATAACTAAAACAGTATGAAGAGGAGTTGCTTAAGCAATGTCGTAAAGATAAGGATACAATTAGGCAATGATGTAGTCAGGATTAGCAAATGTGCAGATATATCTTGGTGCATTTTGAAAGAAATAGCAATGACATTAAGCCTTTTTTCATATTTTATTGGAAGCAGAAACACAACGAGACTGCAGTCCCAGTAACCTCAACCCCCAATAAGAACAACCAGAATAAAAAAAACGCAAAAAATTAGAAACATCTCGTGTATAAAAAAATTCTCATGCGAGTACTTTGTATCACTACACATCATCAGTAATATTTATATATTCACAAACATTTGAAAAATAGAAAACAATAATGAATATCAAAATAAAAGGAGACAACAATTGGCAATTTAACATCAAGTAGTTATGCGTGCTGGCACAATACATTTTTTTCTTTTTAGTTTCATTGTTCCTATCATGCACTTTTTCTGGCAGTACAGGACTGTCTGAGCAGCCGTCTGTCTGCGTGGCCGGGTCAGCAAGACAGGACAGATCATGCATGTCTGTCTGTGTGCTTTTCTTTGTGCTTCTACATTTATACTCGTCCTTAACTTCTGTGTTCAAGTGTGTACATGCCAATTCAACACCCCAACACGCAAACTAACCCTCTGAGGGAGGAGACTGAAGTATCATTGTCAACAGCAATAAATAAAGATAATTTTTTCGTGGCATTTCCAGCTATGTGACAGTTGTGTACCTGTTTTTTAAAGTTATTAAAAGACGTGTGCAGAGGTCCTTTGTAAACGTTGTACTCACCGGAAAGGGACAACATGTTTAAATGTAGTTTACTTAAATAGGTAGATGGGTTATTTTACTTAAAGTTAGAAGCTAGCAGTTTGTTCATTTGGCTCTTAATCGAGAAAATCAAATGATCCAATTGGCTTGTTTTCCATCGCCAGTGTGTACATGGTCTTCATATATCTTTCGTTTATAGCTACATATCCAAATTGGGCACCCACACACACAAAACCGTCAACTGCACCCAGAGCAAATATTCAAGTCTACAAAAGAGCAGCAAACTTCACTTCACATAGTCTGACGTGTTTCGAGCTATTTACGACGCCCAACGACAATAATCGATCTCTCCGTTCCAGATTAATTTCCTCAGCGCTGAAAGGCTGTACAAACGAATCTCAGACTCTAATCAGCTCTACTACAGCTGCGACATTTGGCCCATTACGAGAGACAGCATGTACAACATATCAGACAAACACTTGCTGATATAATAAGAATAATCCACAATGTAAACATTATAAGACTGCTTTGAAAATTACTCATCGACATAGATTTTTATAGACTAGATGCATAGAGTTCAGTTCTTACACTTTGTTCAAAAGAGGGGTCCTGTTAAACATTTACAAACGAGTGCTTTGGGGGGGGGGGGGGGGGGAACTTAAAAAAGAGGCAGAAATAGAAAAAACTAACAACACCCTGTAGATTTTCTTCTTTTTTAAAACAGCCTGGATGCTTCTTTTTTTTCCTTCACGACAAACATACACATCTCGTATATATAAATAAACCAATCAATCTTTTAAAAAACGGGCATTCATGAAAATAGAATTAAGAGTCATGCTGGACAGTCAATTCAAACACTTAGTTTTAACATATCTCTAGGATGAATTGAAGCCTCGATGTGAAATTCCTGTCATTTTAAAAGCAATTTCTGGACAATAAACGAGATGATCGGAGTATAGATGTGTTATTATGGGTGCAGTAAAGACCCTGTGCTTCTAGATTTCCACACTACATCTCTACTAAGCTGTAGGCCCCCTTTTAAATGTCAGATCCAGACCTGGTGTGCTCTGGATCTGCAGCCCTTTATCAGAGGTCTGGCTTCTAGGTATCAGGGTTATAGCACCTGCAGCTGAGGGATCATGGGTAATCACTTACTCATGCTCTTCATGTGGTGCGATGTGGTTTTTTACAACACACATAGATATTTTGCCTCAGAGCATTTTACCATTGGCAGTCAAGATTTGTCATCCTCTTTCATGACCCGCTCACACACCCAGTACAGGGCAGTTGGGAATGTGTACAGTAGCACAAAAACAAAATGTAAATCCCCCATCATAAGATATAAGAACGATCCTCCCTCGAGTAAAAGACACTTTGTAAATCCTCTAAAATCTAATCTGAATGTGAACCGTGTGAAGTTCTTAGCTTGTGATGGCTTTCTGTGATTATATTTGCAGGTAACAGGCAACACGGGCGGCTACATGATGTCAACAGTGGAACATTTTACAAACACACATCATGAGCTCCACACATGCTCAAAAACACACACACACACACACACACACACACACACACACACACACACACACACACACACACACACACACACACACACACACACACACACACACACACACACACACACACACACACACACACACACACACACACACACACACACACACACACACACACACACACACACACACACACCACACACACACCACACACACACACACAGAGATGAATCACAGTGCTTGAAGGCGTGTTTTCATCAGATTCATCTCTCCATCAAGACGATACGAGGGTCAACGAGACAGAAGGCATTGAGGGTGTCAGGCAGTGTGCTCTGTTACCGGGTAGACGGACAGAAAGACAGACTAGGACAATCTTTCAAATCCCACGCATCCATTGAACAATCCTGCATAAAACTTTACATATGTCCTTCATATATTGTATATTATGATATATTAAATTATTTGAATATAAATACAATTTGGAAAATAACTATAAATAAATATTTAAATTATCTCTGTTCCCCTATCTGGAATGTTTTAGGCCTTTTTCAGTCATTGTTTTTAATTGGTCAGTTGTGCTTAGGGCTGGTCCTATACTTCAGCGATTATCTGTTGGCACTTGGAAACCAAAATATGAAAGGCTACAATATATTTTCTTAACTAGTAAATTGAGGTGTATGTGTGTTAATGGCGTGACTAACCTCTACAGACAGAGGAAAGTAGATATAAGCTGTATGATTAAACTCTATGTCATTTTTCATCAAAAGGATGGCTGATAATATCTGCACCGTTAAAGACACGGGTGCGTTTTTAAGGAAAATTAAAGATGAGTTGTTCAGCACTGTACTCTACCTACTGACATGGGTGTATTTACAGCACTGGATGTGTGGTGACTGTTATCTGTGCTTTTACAAAACTGGATCAGCAGGGCAGTGGCTAGCAGAGGCTCAGGAGAGCTCCAGGGCAGTAGGTATCAACGTCTGGTTGAGCTTCAAACATTTTAAAAACTAATTGTGTCTTTTAGCTGCGGCCTTCCTCTGCCGAGCGCTGGTCCGACTTGAGCTTGACGAACTCCTTGGCCACGTCGTCGTTGTTGCGTTGGGAGAGGATGCGCAGGACGGTGAGGCCCGTCTCGTCCATGTTGATGCGTTTCCCCAGCGGCAGCCAGCAGGCCACGCTGCCTTTGGAGGCCATGTCCTTCAGCTGCAGGACGGCCATGCCCACGGTGCGGTCCTCTCGCGCGAAGCAGTAATCCTTCACACACACCTGCAGCTCGTAGCACTCAGGCCCCACCTCGCTGCTCAGCGTGCTGCAGAGGACAGGATGTCATCTCATCACAAATGTTCTACAGGCCCTATGTCATTTTTTTCTTATATTTTTGATGTACTATACAATGTAGTTTCTTTTTTTCTTTATTCGATGTGTTTTTTCTCATATTTTCTACATACCATATACTTTTCTGTGTCTTTGTTTTTCTGATAATTTCAACATACTGTACTATGTTGTTTCAGAGGAGAGGATTTCATCTCATCACACAGGTTCTACATGCCCTATTTTCTGATATCTACCACATACTTTATGTCGTTTTTTTCCTTATATTTTTTATGTACTATACAATGTAGTTTTAAAAAAACTAATTCCACATTCTATACTATGTGCTTTTCTCATATTTTCAACATACCATATACCTTTTCGTATATATTTGACATTTCATACTATGACATTTGTTCTGATATTTTGAACTTAATATCTTGTCATCTTTCCTGATTTTTTCGGTATACTATACTGTGTTGTTTTTTCGACATACTATATTATATGTTTTTTAAGGCATAATATACTGTGTCTTTGTTTTTCTCATAATTTCAACATACTATATACTTTTTCGTGTAGATTTGACATTTCATACTATGACACATTTTCTAATATATTCAACTTAATATCCTGTCTTTTTTTTCAGATCTTTTTTTTTACACTATGAAACCTAACCTTAAAACCTTAAAACAAACAAAAACACAACTCATCAGTATTTCTACTCACAAAATGAAGGATTCATTGTATTTAGGGGCCCAGCTGTTGTTCTTCGACTTGGTGGCGTACTTCCTCTTCTTATCGCTGAGGTGAGGGCCGATGATATAGATCTCCACAAATGGCCGGAATATTCCCTGCGTCTGCCACCTCAGGTCATTGGCAGCCACCACTGAGACGGAGAGAGGGGAGGAGAGTGGGAAGGTGTGGGTGAGAGAAAGCGAGAGAAAGATTCATGAGGAGAAAATGTGTGAACATTTCGGAGCGGTAAAAAAACACAAGTCAACAGAAAATTCAAAAACAAGAAAATGCTGGTCCTCCCTCAGGTGCCATATTCATAATGAGATGAGGGATCATTTATATATTACTTCATTAAAGTCGTATATTTCTTTGCATGCTAAAAGGCATTTATGCCTTTGCCATATGATATTGAATTTAATTATCGTTTAGATTTGTGCAGTCATTAATCCGACATGTGGATCAAGCCATATCAAATATACACTGAACAAAAATATAAACGCAACACTTTTGTTTTTGCTCCCATTTTTCATGAGATGAACTGAAAGATCTAAAACATTTTCTATATACACAAAATAACCATCTCTCTCAAATATTGTTCACAAATCTGAACAAATCTGTGATAGTGAGCACTTCTCCTTTGCCGAGATAATCCATCCCACCTCACAGGTGTGGCATATCAAGATGCTGATTAGACAGCATGATTATTGCACAGGTGTGCCTTAGGCTGGCCACAATAAAAGGCCACTCTGAAACGTGCAGTTTTGCTTTATTGGGGGGGTCTGGGGGGGTCCGAAAACCAGTCAGTATCTGGTGTGAGGGGTAGGGGTAGGGGTAGGGTTAGGGTTAGAGTAATGTTGTGAATTGAGTGGCCTGTGTTCGTCGTCCATACCATACGCCTGCCCATACCATAACCCCACCACCACCATGGGCCACTCGATTCACAACATTACCCTAACCCTAACCCTACCCCTCACACCAGATACTGACTGGTTTGAGATATTTGAGAGAAATGGTTATTTTGTGTATATAGAAAATGTTTTAGATCTTTGAGTTCATCTCATGAAAAACGGGAGCAAAAACAAAAGTGTTGCGTTTATATTTTTGTTCAGTGTAGTTTGATTCAATGTTTTAAAACAATATAATGTGATATTTTCCTCAGTGGTTTAGTACTTTTTTCTAAACACCGTATATCTTGCAGCAGAGTATAAAGAATATCTTGACACTACAACCTGTTTACAGACTGTATAATGTAAAACAAACTGGTCATATTTCATACAACTGATAGAGATACACCCAGGTCAAAATCAATGTGCCTGCTTATTCAAAAGATTTCAATGCCATCACATGCTCTTTATTAGTGTTTTCCACTTCATCCACTGATCATCTCTAATTGAGTTGGATCTGTTGACATGCAACTCAGTAGCTGTTCTGATCTCATTCATAGGACTTTTAGGAAAAAGTTATTAAGTTGTGTTATCGTGAGTATGACAAGTAGTCCATTACCTTTCACTGTGACCTTGTGCTCTCCTGTGTTAGGATGGGTGAAAATCTCTACATGGATGGACACCTCTCCGACAGCATCGTCCACTCCAGATCCTGAGGGGACAGACAGAGAGTCAGGCTTTCCCCTTTAAGCCTTCAAATGTGGAAACATGGACTCCTCTTGCTTCTCTCTCAGACCAAACACTCCCACATACCACTGGGCCCAGATCGTCCTCCTCATTTTGAAAGGTTACAGAACAATTCCATTTCAATTTAATAAAGTGAACATTGAAATGGATTTGACTCAAACCTTTTGGATATTAAACGGAATATTGAATATGCGCACATTTGTTTAAACAATGAACTAATCACTTTGTAACAGGAGGACGTAAACGTAGGCGTAGTGATCTGTTGGTGCAGCTGTTGTGGTCTCGAAGTGGAAAGACAGAGCTGCTATGAGTGGGCAAACGATTTAAAGGTAGTTTCAGTAATTCTCTGTAATGCATTTCAAATATTTTCTACAGAAGCTTCCTGTATTAAGCCACGACGTAGTTTTTTTCTCAAATTATTTGACACACTATGTGTTTTTTTCTGATATTATAACATAATATATTCTAGGGGTGCACCGAATGGGAAATTCTTGGCCGAAACCGATACCGAAAATAGGAAACAGTTGGCCGAAAACCGAATGCCGAAAGGCCGAAAATGATTAATAGAAATATATATATATATAATGTATACATTTTTTTACCAATGTTGTTCAGCTACCTGATTATGGAAATAGACATGATTATGGCAAAACTTAAATAATAATCACTATTATGGGTCCATAAAACATTTATTCAGCACTTTTGAATGCATACAGTACATTTATATATGTCATGTATTATTGCTAAAAAACATTATATCGCAGTCTTAGTGTCGCCAACTCGTTTCTAATATGCAAAGACAACAAATGCGTCTATGATGTATTTTCGATCAGACGAGATCTCTCCCCCGTCTGTGTGCGAGGGGGCGTGGCAGTTTACACACACGCAGCTGCTACATGCAGCGGAGCACACTGCGGAGATGGCGGAGAGAACGCGCTCCGAGGTGTGGTTAAACGTTACCCGTCTCGGTGTGGAGAATACTTGTTACCATAAGTGCAATAAGAGTTTAGCATGTAAGCACGAGCAATTTGTCTAAACATTTAGCAAAAGTGCACCGCATGCAGACGGAGGAATGTACCGGGTTCGACCGTCTTTCTAGCAGCTCTGTAGCTCCATCCACGAGTAACGTTTCCACGTCAGGTGTTATGTATGCTAGCAGCAACACACGGAGTTAACTACATTATACAAACATGGGTTAATGATTAGAGGAAACTGAGTTATTTAGTTTGTTAAAATTTCAGCTATTCTGTTTACAGTCTGTCATCAGATTATGTAATACGATTTGTTAAAGGCTCAGTGCAATCTCGATGACAAAGGTCAATGTTCCCCCCCCCTGTGAGCCAGCCGCGAGCATGGTCGCCGCGTCTTTATTACGTCATCACAACAACACGTTAGGTTACCAACGTAAGCCTGTTCTGACATTCGGTGATATTTTTTCGGTGCTAAAACCCTTTCGGCCGAAAGCCGAAAGGGCCTTTTTAACCATTTTCGGCCGATAATTTTCGGTGGCCGAATATTCGGTGCATCCCTAATATATTCTGCCATATTTTTTACATACTATACTTTACAATTGTTTTGACAAACTATACTATGTCTATTTTTCTGATATTTTCAACATACTATACATACTTTTGCCCTGACCTGAAACAACTTTTAGTTTTTCCAGTAAGGCAACAACTGAATAGCCTTCAGATTCAGCGATTGAAAGGCGATCATTAGGATCAGTGAGGACGGTCATTTGTGCCCACTCATAGATGCAAGTTGTCTGTTTGGATGCAGGGTGGTTATTTAGAGGCAGAGAAGAAGCTGGGGAAAGTAAACCCACAGTGTGGTTTTCCTGACATGCTCAGATGGATCGACACAGGTGGACACACCCATTACTTGGTAAACCTTTTTTTACCCAAGCATGGAAAAAGGAGGGGCAATAAAGGAGAAGAAGCGTGCGAAGAGAGAAGCACCACAGCCTCTCAGTGAAAAACGGCATCACTGATATCCTTCCCAATAATGTGTGATGAGCATCTGGAGGACTTAAAATGAAGTTCCAGGTCAATATCCTCTATCTACGCCAAGGAGGATATGATGTCAGTGGGGTTTGTTTATCTACTTGTCAGCAGGAATACAGAAAAAGCGTCCGATTTGTATGAATCGTGTAAGAGGGTAGCATGAGCCAAAGAGAACTATTATTAACATACATTTTGGACCCAAATGATGTCCAAAGCCATAGCCTTGGCCAAGGCCGGCTCTCTTGATTGCCCTCCAAATATAAATGTACTCTTTCATTAATATTAATGTTTTTCCCTGTTTTCCCTATACATTGGACAGTATTGAATGTCTGTATGTCCTGTAAGTGTAATACAAGTGTTGTATGGTGTACAGGTTGTAAAGACCTTCGAGGAGTTTTCTCTGTATAAATGAATTGTAAGGACAGGACTTACATTTTACTTATATTATTCAAACGAATGGTTAAAGTCAGAGATATCTTTGCATTTAAAGCCTAATATATATAACTTTGGGTCGGCTCACCCCGATCCAAGATAATTCAACTCTGCACCCTGGCTCAAGTTCAGCTCTTGGTTTGGTTTGGCTCTATACTTCTAGCTGTAAGACTATTTTAGGATAAAGAAGATAGTGATGGCTCCACTCACACCCCAACTCTTTTGTCTGGGAGGGAGAAGGTGGACAATTCATTCCTTAGTTTGTGTTTTTATGCTGCAAGTGGTCCAGAATATCCTATCCACAAGGATATGATGACAGATGGGCATACATTTTCAATGTTTTAATTAGTGTCTTCACTTTGTCAACGGTATCTCTGTGGCGCTACCAGCAGCCTGTGTGTGTGTGTGTGTTTCCAACCAGCCGCCCACTAAACAAGGTGTCTGTGGGAGTTAGACGGCAGTGTGTTCCTGGCATGCAGCTCTCTGCATCTCTCCAGGGAGCATTATGGGATTGTTGGTCTCGCTGCCAACGGGACCAAAGGGAGCAACAGTCATCCATCTGGGCTCGTCTACTCTATGGACGACATCCATAAAAGATGAGAAAGAAACTGTTCTGGCTGGGAGGCAGGAATATGTTGCCAGGAGTAAGCAGGTTTTTCTTTTCCAATAAACACTGCATTCAGACGGGCACATTTCCCCAACATATTGGAAATCTTCACCATAATGTACATTAAATGTCAAACTCGAGCTGTGATTGAGTCAAAGCATCACCAAAGTTGACGCATAAATATGAATTACCTTTGATTATTTCTATTACAAATCATTCAGCTCATAGTATGTAAGGATGACAGTCATCCAAGCTATGGTGGAGATAAAAAGAATGAAACTCCACTCAGCCTCAAACAGTCATGCTGCTCTAATCATCTACTCTAAAAACTATCCAGAGAAAGCTGCTTGGCAGGAAGTTCATTTGCATCCTTACAGTCAAGGACATCTAGCAGCTGTTGGGAAGGATGAAGACACTTTGTATACCATGTATACCTTCACTATGGGGACAGAGACATTTCATAAGCATGAACACCTAACTGGAAATGTCATGTTAGAATGTATAGCCACTGAGACGATATCAATACACATTTTTTACTTTAAAACCGTCCGAATGTCTGAGTAAAAATGTGTGGACTGAACTGCCCCGTGATGAGACCTTCTATCAGGTTATAGTCTGTCCGTCATGCGATCCAAAACAAAGCAACTAGGGTTACACAATTACAGACTTATAATTGAGTATAAACAAAGCACAAATGCTGTGTTGTTTTGAGTTTCTACGTGTAATTGTCAGCAATATTCTGCTGCATATACTGCCTTCGTGCATATCTCATTGGCTTCTGTCCAGAGGAAATAACACAACTTGTTATGCAATATATATTTTATAAGTCTTTTTTGCCTTCACCACTTTGCATAGCACTGTCAGTGTGCTGGAGCTTTTGCAGCTCCAACTAAAGTGCTTCTGTGTGAGTGTTTGAGAGTCAAACCTTTCCATACTAATCTAAAGTGACAGAAATCAGACCACATGACCTGAGGGACTATTTCTGATTGGCTCAATCTGTGTAGCGAGGGGGGGGTTGAGTTGGGCACCCCTTCTCATCGTGCTGCACGTGGGAGTTATTTGTGTGTGTTTTAACGTGTATGTGTCTGTTTGTGTGTGATGAGCAAGCGAGGACAGGGAGCCCTCCCAGACAAAAATGAGCCATCATAATTCTTCATAATAATCCTAATCCTCTCCATCAGCGTCTTTAAACACTGGCAGGGGTGGGAGCGTCGGGGGGGGGGGGGAAAGGATTTCTTCTCGGTTTTCCTCGCTGGGAGAAGACGACACAGTGTGCTTCTGCTTCAACAACCTTAAGGACAGTCTCACCCAATCACATTGTCACTTTTCCTCTCGTCCACGTGTACACACACTCGCTCAGCCCTCGGGCCTCTCTGGGTGACATCATGCTGGGTCAGGATTCCTTCACACTTTAATGCATTTCCATTCTTTTGGTCTGATGTCAGCGCATCATGCTTTAGTGTCTGCTCATACATACACTCCATTGCGTATGTATTCAGTGCAGTTCCTTACAGACAGACATCAGTGTGTACATGACATGCTTTGATGCATAAAGTCTATGTCCTCATTGTTACGATGATGCATGTACAGTATGTGTGTGCAGAGAGGCAGGGATAGATCAATCGGTGCATTGTGTTTGTCTGTTGAGATGAGTTTGAGCAGGCAGGGGGGTTTTGGGATGCACATGGGGTGGGGTGGAAGGAGTTGGGCTTTGGTCTGGAGGCTTTCTGGTGGTCCTTGATGTCTCAGGCCCTGAACCTGAATGCCACATACCCTTTTCTGGGTAAACATCCTCACTAGTGGTGAACCTCACCCCCTTCCCGCCGAACACTGGCCCACAGACGGGGCACAAGAAGGGAGTAGACGGAGAAAGAAGAAACGTTTGCAGAGTTGAACGTTAGAATAACAGAGTAGAAAAACAGACAGACAGACATTTATAAGTCTCGTTCCTAGAGTTGGGAGAGAGTCTGATACATTGATTAAACACTCAAATCAGCTCTTTTTAGTTCTTCTGATCTGCTGTGAAATCCTGCAACATGCAAAATGGACTTAGGTTTCCCCCGAAAACCACATGGCATTTTGATAATTCGATTTTCAACGATCATCCGCTCAAATGGCATTTCTACCAGCGGCGCTCGGGGACAGTGTGTCAGCGGCAGCGTTTCCACGAAGATGATGGCTGTTATGTAGCCATCTGACAGTAGGATGGAGGCTGGGCAACAGAATCAAAGAGCGAGAGAAAAAGAGGGGGTGGGTATTTATTTTTCAAATAGCTGTCAGATCGTGTGAAGAATAGCCTCTGTGTTTCCCAAGGCTGGCTACAACGAGACTCAGCATTTCAGATCAGAGAACTGTTGTGCAGCTACAGCCTAGACTTCATGCTCTACAAAGCATGAGTGACATTTGCAGGATATACAGCTCAGCATTTGGGAAAGCCTTGCTTAACACAAACAAGGATTGGCTGACCTCTTTCAGAGAGTTATGTAATGTTAAAATGAAGATACTGCAAATAAAGAGGATTACAAGTCTCCCAAAGAAGGAGAAAGGGAAAAGTGTCACAGAGAGTAAAGATCGTAAGGTTACCTTGTGCGTTTTGTGAGGAGACAAAGGTCTTAATGAGTTTGTCTGTAGCCTGGGTGTAGAGCGACAGGGCGTAGTGCAGAGACAGGAGGTCGGGACTCTTCTCCAGGAAAGTCTTCTTCAGACCCACACCACCAGCATGGAAATATTGCTAAAATACACAAAGACAGAAAAAAGTTATTTAAAATGTAATGCAATGGTTGTTGATTGATCAATAAGATGACTATGCTATTAGTTGATACACAAGAAATCATTCAAAAACTATTTTGATAAAGGCTCTAAATGTGGGTATTAAGAGGCTTTGTGTTATTGTTTATATAAACTGAATATTCTTTTGGTTTTTGACTGTTAATCAGAAAGAACATGAACCAAAAGTTATAATGGTGTTTGTCTTTGTAGCACAAGTTGCTAGAAATGAAGGAATGCTATGCGTTTCCATGGTCATTATTGATTTTATTTGCATATTAGAAAGCCCAAACCATCAATAGAGTTATTTGTAGATCATTTTCAAAAACAATTGCCTCTTAAAACACTTTAGCAGATGTTCCTACATTAGTTATAACGAAACATTTGAGGTTGTAATCACCTAAAAGAATAAATGACTTCGCATTTAAGTCACAAAAGTAAACCTCAGACTCTGACAGATGGGGACTCTATACACCGCATCCTTGTAGAAAACTTCTAGAGCGCAACGCTGAGTTTTAAAAGGCATATATTGTGATTAATGTCATTTCCACTAACCATAAATATGTATTTGTAAAACATTGAACATGGCTCCTAACAGTGAGTTTCTACCTTGATGGTGTCCAGGGCCAGCTCTATCACTGCGCACTGCTTCGGGGAGAGTGCTTTAGCTTCCTCTCGAACCATGTGCTCCTGAACACGGACAACAATAGAAGCACAGAACAAAAGGATCCATTAGTCCATTTCTTTTTTCTAGGCAATTAGAGATCAGTCTTGATCTGAAGTACCGTCAGAGAAAATAAAAAGCACCTTCAGTTTGGACAGCTGTCCCAGCTCCTTGGCGGCGTTAAAGATGAGCTGAGTGCCCTGCAAGAGACAGATAGAAGAAAGGTAGACAGAAAGAAGGAGAAGAGTATTGTTATTATCAGGACAACGCATGGCAGCAGTAAAAGGCTTAGTGTCACACAGAGGACAGCGACATTCCTGACACACACATTCATGAACAGACAGTCACTCTAAACCGCCAAAGGTACTTTTTCCTTTAAGTGCTTTATCAAACTTTTCTGTGATTCATTTATTGCAAAACATTTCACTCTATATACACACACACACACACACACACACACACACACACACACACACACACACACACACACACACACACACACACACACACACACACACACACACACACACACACACACACACACACACACACACACACACACACACACACACACACACACACACACACACACACACACACACACACACACACACACACACACACACACACACACACACACACACACACACACACACACACACACACACACACACACACACACACACACACACACACACCACAAAGAGAAAGTGGTTCAGCTCATAGTAAGAAAGAAGACACACTAGTGCAATCTTGACACACGTGCAGACACACACAAACATAAACGCTCACACACACTGTGGTGTACGCAGGTATTTCCTGGATGTCCAGCCTGATGTGAAACTCTGGTAAGAGCATATTTATTCACTATACAGAATGTGACCTTTAAATGATATCCTTGGTTACAGCCTTAAGCATGAAATAATATTTGATTATATAGTGTTTAAGGCTAAAACATATTCAATATTGTTTAAAATACCATCACACATTGAAACTGTGATGTTCAACTTAATTAAACTAAATTCAAATACTAGATTTAGGCTTTACAGCCACCTTTTACGGCTACATGATGTCAAACTGACAGCACACTTCTGCGGCTAAATAGACCATAAGCCACAGGTTCAAATGCCAACCGTCACTTACTTTGCCTCATGTGGCTCATTAAGCTCAGCCGCTTTTACTCGCAAAGCAATTTTCAGCTGAACTACAACCTATTTTTCCGTCTGTGATGCATTGCTGCCAAAAAACTGCAGATTGTTTTTTTTAAAACTGAGTGGAATTAAGTGACGTTTGACCTATGGATTGTGGTGCGTTAGAGCCGCAAATGGTTGCACGTAGATTAGAGTGTATGACCTGCGGTGAGGCTGGGAGAGCAGGCAGCTACTGCTACAGCATTACTCACACCATATAAACAGCACTAAAGAGGGATGTTGTGTAAAAACAAAAGTGAAAAATCAATATTTCAACTGCTTTGTTTGACTGGCGAGCTGAGGGAGCGAGACGAAGACACGGAGAAAATACATAGAGGAGGGAGACAAGACACATTGATCTAAAGGGGTTTAGTCCTTACATCACTGTGAGAAGCATTCTTCAGCCTCCCCTGCAAAGAGAGCATGTGGTTAATACTTCAAGCGGAGGCCCTGCAGTCTGACTTCACTCTCATTGGCTAAATGACAATATGCAATCAAAAGTGCATAATGTTGTTTTGCAAAATGTAGAAAATGTACTCTTAACTGCCTGGAGATGTCAGGTCCTTTCAGGTAGTTAATTAGCTTTCACTTCAAAGCAACAGCATCACATTTTGTGCTTTCTCGCAAAACAAAGACAACATAGTTTAACAAATCACCTGCTGGCAGAGCAGAGAGGTTAGCATTTATGCTGACAGGAGTAAATGGATTCTGTCAAAACTTGCTTTCGCTGCATGTTGAAATCCATTAGTGTGCTTTTTTACGAGAGGCTACATTTACAAGACAGCACTTATAAAGTCAGATATGAGGTCAGGTCACTAGTAATACGTTTACATGCTAATTACTTGAGTAACGATCCAAAAGTTACTAAAAACACATGATGATATCCAATGTCATCATGATAACAACCATCCTATTCATTACATACAAATACATGAATGTGTAATAGAAAACTTTTTATAACATTTTGCAGAAATACGCTTATTGCACGCATGCCGAGGATGACAGAGAGGAATATTTTAGTTTAGCATACAGCTTGAAAACAAATGGGAAAGGTAAACTAAGCTAATCTACTCCCGGCTCTCGCTCTACACTTATTGCAAAGATATGAAAGTAGTATGAATAATCTTATCTTACTTTAGACACGAAAGCAAATAAGACTAATTAACTAAATGTTCTTCTAAAGGAGAAGAGATCAAACTCTAGTTGTAGTTTGTGGTGTAGAGTAAACATTATAAAGATTAAAGGACCCAACTGTATAAACTGTATTACTTATCGTACTGATACAAAAATAATAATGTTCCTTATTATTATTGAACAGTGTGACGTTGCTTATTAAACTATAGTAAATACACTATATATGTTTACAACCAGTGGTTACAGTTGATAATAAACAATTTAAAAAACGCTGCAGATCATTTGAACAGATTAACACGCATCACTAACACAGGACTTCCTGTGCTTCTAAAGTAAAACACAGAATAGAAATTCAACACAGTCTTATTTTAAACTAGATACTTTGTTATATTCTGTAGGAGTCATACAACATAACTTTAAGACATTGAGAGTATTTTTTGCATAGGTCATTGAATGCACCGTTTTTAACCAACTTTACCTCAAACCAGAAAAGTCATTCTGTACATCGAAAACAGTGACATAATCCCAGCATTTCAATCAGCATAGTAACAACAGAACATGAAATCAAACCAGGACAGACCAACATGACAGGTCTGCAGAGACATACAGTACAGTGTTGTACAGTATACTGAGAAAAGACTGCAGTGTTGAAATAGATCAGATGCAAGCAACAAACCCACAGTGGGCGGTGGAAAGGGGGACACATTTCAAACAGGTGGGGACAGTAGGGGAAGGGCGGAGGTTATCAGAAGGAGGAAAAGGGGCTGGGGGGGGGGGGGCAGGACACTGGATACCGAGCCACCGAGAGATCATCAGAGTCACCCCACCAGAGTCCCAGTAAAAGGACACAATGCATGAGAAGAATCAAGGCAAGACCGGGCGCAAGAGAGGAGTACCACTTCCTGTTTGAGGAGAGTGTTCAGGAAGAGGACAGCAAAGGAGAGGGGCACTGATTGGTGGAGATTATTGAGAGGGGTGTGGGACCTATCAAAACCAGTCAGGAATGCACCATGCTTCTGTCTTCTCAAAAGAGAGACAGCGTTGGAAGAAGGAAAAAGAAGAGGGAGCAGAAAATGAGAGAAGTGATGAGGAAGACTAGAGTGGAGTACAGACGAGGAAGAAGAAGAAAAGGAGAAGAAGAAAAAGAAGAAGTGGAGAAAAGAAAAGAGATGAGGAAGAAAAGGAAGGAGGAGAAACCACAGCAGAGGAGGAAAAAGACAGGTTTGAAAGTGAAAAGGGAGAGGGTGTGATGTGGGGTAAAAAACAGGGGAAGATCGCAGCCACATATAGCAGAGAACCAACCACCGTGGACGGACAGACAGACACACACGCAGGAGTGCTGTACTTACAATCATCTGTGGAAGAAGAGCGGTGGGAGCGGGATGTAATTGTAATCACAACGACAACAACCAGAGAGAAGGGTCAGTCAAAGCTGCAAAGAGCCCCACATCAATCAAAAAACACAAGTTTGGGCCTCAGTGCTGGAGGGACGTGGACCAATTGGGACCTGTCTAAAGCCTGGACTTATAGTACAGGTCAGGAAGTGAGAGGGGCCAGCGAATTAATAACTTTAAGACAGCAACATTTAAAAGAATAGAAGATATAAGAGTTATAGCTTTTCTTAGCAACTTCAAATGGATAAATATCTATGACAGAGATGATTATGTGGCATTTGCGTAAGTCCAATATATCCTGTTTTTGTTGCTCTTTCCTTTTTCTAATTGGATGAACTCATTGGAACAGGGGCTAAGTGCTTACCAATGGCTACTGAGGCTCAACCAGTTGTGTAGATAACTGGCTTTTGCTGTAAATGGTGAACAGAGATCAATAATCACCTTATTATCAGTGACATGAGGCTCTTTAGTTAATAACCAAACACAAATAAGAACACATATATCCAAAAACAAAAGAAAACAAGAGGCTGCTTTCCAAAATGTTTGATTCTTTTTGAAAGTGGGCCGGATCCTTCGGGCAAAAATATTTCTGCCACTCTGATATGAGTTACTCATAAATCAGAAATCTCTCAGGATAATTGTTGTCTGACATACTGGAGAGCAGCCATGAGCTGGTGTTAGAATGATATGGTGCACTCCTTTTGTATTTTTAACCCAGGGTTTCATCTTGATTGTTTGGATAAATGAAGGCACTGGGGGCGATGCTAAATATAAAGTGTGGAAAGGAAGCCATATGTATAGAAAAAGTAGATTGATCATTTGTTTATAAGGGGGCCATCTTAAATCACAACACACACACAAAATGTCTGCCTTTGTATTCCCTTCCTTGTTCTCCATCTCCTCCTCTTGGAGGTGTGTGTAAGTATGTATTTGTGCATGCTTGGAAGTACGTGTGTCACATGTTTTGTCCATTCCTTTTTTTATATCTACCTTATTAACTGGTCATCATCGGACCAAATATTTGTGGTCACTTAAACAAAATAATCAGTAAGCTTTCTGGGAAACAGATCCCTTGAATGTGTGTGTGTGTGTGTGCATGAACAGATCCTCACTAAACATGTTCTTGCATGTACAGCAGGCACAGGGTGCAATGAGTGCAGACATGTGTGGCTCAGCAGCATTTCTGTGTGTATTTGTACGACTTAGTGTTTCTGTGTGTGTGTGTTCGTTCGTCTGTTCACTCTCACCGTTTGGTCCGTGAGTGGCGGCAGGACAATGGTCTTCTCCATGGTGTTCATCACCAGCTTCCACAGCTCCTTCAACACACGTTTCAGCACTGTCTTCTCACAGATCTTAGCAAACAGAGTCAGGCTGGCAGGAGGGCGAGACAGGAGAGAGGAAGGAGCGATGAATAATAAGCAGCAGAAGGAGGCGACCGCGGATTTAAAATCCCTAGCTTGAAGGCTTGTCAGAAAAGCCCAGAAGCTCAGATTTTGGGGAATTTATCTCCTGATTATACTTACCTAGAGTAAGGCAATGCCTTTCTTAGTCCTTCTTATGTCTCTGTTTGAGCAATAATGTTAGCTTAAGAAAATCCATTACATGTCTATAAAATAAAGTTAAAATGTATTCCCCAACATCAGACATCCACCAGACCATTACAATTGTATTAAGAGACAAAACTGTGTCCATTGTTGTGTTTGCATAACCTATCACTATTTCTAAGTGGGCAAAATAATTTTCCCATTTAGATTCTATTAAAATAACAGACTGCCTCACTTGCTGTCAAGGAACTCCATGATAGGCTGCAGGACGTTGTCGGCATCCTGGGCCACGCTGCTGGCGTTTCCCACATTCGAGGTTCCCTTCACCTGAGCCAAGATGTCTCCCATCTGCTTCACATTCTCCTCTATGTGAGGCTGGAAACTACAAGGGAAAAGTACAAAGAGATATTAACAAAGTCTGCATCGTCAGTAAATCTCAAAATATACATCACATTAATGTCAAACTCTTGCATGAATGACTTTGTGTGTGAGCGTGTTATTACCTGACAGCAAAGACCCTGCTGAGATCATCCATGACATTGTTGAGCTTAATCTGCAAGTCCTTAAGAAAATCGCTGGCTTCCACACACAGCTAAAGTACGGATATGGAAACACAGAGCTGGTTATGTGATTGGCCAGAGAGTTTTGCAATAATAATACCCCTTATGGACACATTTGGGACTGTCTGGATATGGCAATTGTGACCAAATACCAATAAAACAAAAAGTAAGCATGTCAATATTCGGTCGGGATATTGAACTCCAGAGAGGACATTAAAAAAAAAAGTGACTAACATCTTTTCCACCCATAGCTTCAAACATTTTCTCCAGCTGAACCCTCAGCTGTTGGATGTTGTTGATCAGGATACAGGGCTGAGGACAGAAAGACAAATAGATCTTTATCTTGTGGGTACAGGATTCAATAAAACAATCATATAACAACCATGACCTCACTTCACTTAACAACAGTGCTTAACTAAGACTCAAATGTGTATTATACAGAATATTATATATTAGAACTCCAAGAGCTGATTGTGAAAACCCTCACAGACTCAACCAGTTTTCGACCACTTACCACTTTCTCCATGGTGACATAGTTGGCAAACAACTTGGAAATGACATCAGCATAAGATAAGAGCACATTGCTGATGGTCTGAAAGGGTAACAAGAAAGAACAACATGTTATCATCATAAAGCTGTTCTGAAAACAACTTTTAAAGACCAGTTTGTTGTACATTGATTTTGTAAAGTGTGATTTCACTGCAAACTGTATTTACCCTAGCAAATCGCTTCATGTAGTGTCCTACGATCTGTGGATCCGGACACTCTAGCTTCCTGATGATTTCAAAGCTCTGGTTGAGCTGAGAAAACACGTCCACCACCGAGCAGGAGAACAGAGCATGTTCGGATGTGACCTGGAACTGTAGGACAGAAAAGGTGTGCGAGAAGTTTAAAAACTGGGATGAAAATAACTTGGACAAGGCATAAGTGACAATTTATGAGCAGCAGGTGAGAAGATGTGATTTGAGGGGCCTAGTTATATGTGACATCCGGGCCCCTAACACAAAATAGACGGATCATTAGAGACACATTTAAACTGAACCTTTGATATTTTCGATCACATGAACCAAGCGGTAGACCTCTTAGGCCCCGGCCACACGAGGATGAAAACGGCTAAACGCATAGGATTAACGCAAACGCAATCGCAAAAAAGCTTCCGTCCACACCAGAGGTTGCGCTAGACTTTTTCGCTGCCCGTCATTTTGACGGACAGGATCGTAAAACTTCCGTCAAAATCCAGAATTACCCGTCGGCCTTTGGGTGTGGGGAAGCATGCTCGCGAACTGTCAACGGGGGGGGGGGGAGAGACAGTTCACATGCGCCGTGTTATGCATGGCTGCTGCACCTCGCGGGAGCGTGCACAGCGTAAAGCCAAAACTCACAGACATTTCAATGATTTGTACGGCACAGTTAGGTTTGGAAACGGTATAATTTCCTTTTTGGAGGGCATGCATAACACGGCATAACACCGGAGCCTCGCTGCGGGGAAACTTTGGCGCTGTTCCGAGTTTGTTCTAATCTGTCAAAAATGACGGACTGCTTTCAGATTTGTCCGTCATTGTTAAAAAAAACAATAGACGGAAAATATTCGGTTAACGCGACCTCTGGTCCACACGCAATATTCACCGGATAGTGTCTGTCCACACGAGACAGCTCCGTTTAGCTCCAACCGCTGGAGAAGCTGCAGTACATATGCATTCAAGTTTAAATCTTCCGGACAAAATTATAAAAGTGCCGGTCAAAGGTCTTCTTTGTTATTTATTGAGCTTTAAAACAAATGAATAACGAATCTATATAATATAATAATAAAATACACGGAGCCTCTCTTTTTCCTCCCTCTCTTCGGACAGCGTCAGTGTCTGTCTCATGCAGCAGCTGATCCAGTAATGAGTGACCCGGCCGACAGTAAAAATAAACATATTTATAACTAGTGTAGGTAGTTTGAGAGGTGTCTCCGTCCTGTCAGATTAGACTTCACTCGCGTTTATGTCCATATCGAGAGAAAGATAAATAATCTGAATTCAGAGTGCAGTTTACTTTGACGCGGGGGTGAGCAGCAGAGGTGGGGAGAGGCGGGGCTATTGCCTCATCATTATCAGAAAATGATCGTATAGGGCGTCACACGGAGCCGTTGGACCCCCCAGAGCGTTGTCCGCAGTCATTTAGTGCCGTATTCGGTGGTCCTCGTGTGGCCGAACGGTCTATATCACACTAAACAGTAACGCAAACGACCGTTTTCGTCCTCGTGTGGCCGGGGCCTTAGAGCCAACCAGCCATAGAGCGAGTTAGACAGCCATTGGGTGACAGGTGGGAGCTCCTGTCTATCTCCCTGTAACTGGTTAGCTCTTTGTCCCTAATTGGCCGGAGGTGAGTGTGAAGGTGCTCCTCTGGGGAGTCTGGGTAATAAGGTGCAGACGGCTCTCCTGCAGTCAAACTCTAGAATAAGGCCATTAATTCACAATATCCTACTGTCACTGCGGTTCACTGCCGCCTTCAAGGTTCAAGGTTCTTTATTGTCAAACTAACATAGCTACAGAGTAATTATGTCGTTGAAAATCGTAGGTCACAGGCTTCTCCAACAATGCAACACAACAATACAGATAAGCAGACAATATTAACCAATATTAAAATATACTAGTACTTAAGCGCATGCACGCCTAGACCGCACTTCTATAAACTTCCAAAGAGTACTTTGACGGAAACACCCTCTTATCCGAGGAACACGTTCTACTTCAATCTCACGTCTTTCCTGCCGTATCCATGCTTCACTTATTGCCTTTGAAGAATTCAATAAATCACTTTGAGGAGCGGGTAAAGTGTGGGAGGCAGAGCGGCAGAAAGAGGATGACACTTTGGCTGATAACTTTGAGTGTGACAGAGGAAGTACAAAGGATGGATTACAGTAATTCTGCTTGAACAACAACAACAACAACAACAACAACAACAACAAGTCAGCGCTTTCAGAGGAGTGAATGGGAGATAAAGAGAGCTGGAAACTTTTACCCCATCTTTTTTGTCTCTTTCCAAAGCACCATGTTGAAAGTCCCGAGACACCTCCTCGTTTTCGTCCAGCCACTGAATGACAAATGGCTCGAACCACCTGTGGAGGGCAGAAGATATGTACATATTCACAAACTAGGATCGCAAATTGACAAAATGAGGATTTCCATTGCTTTATTTTGACTTTCTGTTTTGGATAAGCGTCAAGGAGTTGCGACTCACGCAGGATATTCAGGCACTCTGCTCTTGAAGAAGGGCAGGTCTTTGCAGTACTCGTTGAACAGCCACTTGACCTTAAAGTGCAGGTTCATGTAATCCGCACTCTTGCACAGGCGATTTTTTTCATGTTCTGAGAGAAAGAATAAAGCAATCAAATGCATGTTGAATAAAAGGCTAATTTCTCTCCTATGCTTAAAGTCCAACAGCAATTACTACATTTTTATTTTGTATTCAGTAGCACTGAACCCTCATTGCTCACAGACTCATACATTATTTGATTAGAGAATAATGTTATTGAGTTGTCCTAGCTCAATTTAAAACCTAGATTATCAAGAGAAGACCCCAATTTTAGGAAATAAATCAAATATTAATCATCCTGAGAAGTGTTTATGACCTTTCATTTGGAGAAATGTTTATTTTCTTCTTTAAAAAACGTTGTATGTGAGACACTAGAATACTGGAGGCTTATACAAATTTGATTAATTCTTTCATTATATCTGTTGGTTGTCATGCATGCATGATACTGTACTAAGATGACAATGAGCTATCATCAGAATAAAGCTTTATGGATAAAAAGCACCCTGTGTGGGCGCCAACAAGGGACACTTTTTCTGGAAGCTTGGGATCCAATAAAGAAGTAAGTAAAGCAAATATTTAGAATTTAGAATCAATTCACTAAATGTCACATGTTTAATAATATAAGTCTTCTAATACTTTTAACGAATGTGACTTACCATATCGAAGTAGTATTTGAAAACATCCTACCAAGTTTCATCCAAATTGATGAAAGAACAGTCAAATGGCAAATTAAAACGTCCTTTTTCCTACCATATTTACATAAATTGAAACCGATAAAAACAACTCAGTACACATCATTAAAAGAGAACAGCTAAACCCTTTCATGGTTTGTGTGTCCGAAGTCATTAGTGCCAGTATGTCTGAACCACACGAATCCTGGTTAGTGGCTACATTTATCAAATCTTCAGTGTTTTGTCAAAGCTCAGTCAGTTCACATCAGTGTATGATGACCTGCACTCACCCTCCATTGCATACTTCATATCCTGAGCAAACAGGTTCCACATCACTTCAGCACTGATTTTACCCACGTTGAGCTCCTGGGGAAATCTTGATGGAGGAGAGAAATAGAAAGGCTTACTGTATGTGCACTTAGAGGGAGAAGCTTTATCAAACAGAGTGAGCAGATAAGAGCAGGAAATGAAATCAAAAAGGATCTGGGTGAATAGAAGAGAATACATATACAGTGGGAGGGATGTGGAGACTCACTGGTTTAGGCAGGGAGTGTAGGAGTTCTTGTCCTCCTCGATAATGGAGACGATAAGTGTGATGAGTTTGGACCAAAAGTCCAGATTCTTGATGCTCGGACCCTGTTCCTCCGGAGGCACGGGACCCTGTTTGGCCTGGAAAAGCAATTCAATAAAAAAAGTCACTATACAATTCTACACTGGTCACTTAGTTAAGTAGATGAAGGGAAGATGGGCAGATTTGGCAACAGCTGTCAACCTGAAAGTGTTGGAGTGTTTTTTTAAAAGACAGAATAAGTAACATGTATTTCATAAAATGTAACTGTGTGTGACACAATTTTGGTTGATACATAATACCAAATGTCTAACTTTATCTAAACCTAGAGAAATGTATTATTATAAACATTCTTAATCGAGTTGTATACTTAACAAATATACTGTATATTTAAACTTACATGTTGTTGTTTTTGGAACATATCTTATTCCTAATTTTGCATAGATTATGTATCATTTACACATACACAAGTTTTCTGTTTTTGTTAAAAGGTCATAATATTTTCATCTAATGGTGACCTCTGTAGTCAAGGAACTATAAAAGACTACAATTCCCATGGTGCCAGCCTTTAAGATACACAGGTATCGCAACCTGTGTGGAAGACGCCGTCAGGACACAGTTTACAACCGTAGCATGATATCATGTACAACATACCAGAAAACAGACGATCTAAGTTCGTTCATCATATCATTTGAGTTTTGACTCTTGTTTGATTATTGTAAAGGCCTGATGACTTGGTTGAATGTGTGTGAAAATGATTTTATTTTATTTTGATTAACAAAGAGATGCATAACATCAAGTCTAGATGCATAACATTAACATCATCAGAAGCCAAAAAGGGTCATTACAACTGTAAGTTACAACAGATGAAGTAAAAGATTATGTATTAGAAATGTCTGTTTAAAAGGCTCAAAGTGGCTTAAAGGAAACAAAGGAAGGAAGCCTTTGCAGATAATTATATTCTGCTCAATCAGTGAGTTCTTAAAGTCAAAACATGCACATTTTTCTGTTCTAATAATTTCCTTATCATCACAAAATTAAATATGTCATATTAAAATATTTACTCATATTATGAATCAAATAATCATTGGGACAATCTTCCAAAAATAAGTTATAATTCAGTAATGGACATAACTGAATGTCCATTACAAGATGACATTCTTGTAATGGACGTCCTGAATTCACATTCAGTGCTCTAAATGTGAATTTTACGATTTTTTCATGTCTGAGACAACAAGACTTCTTCTGGGGGAAATCCTGACTGTGTTTGTTAATTCAACAACAACAACAACTCATACATACTCAAGATTAGCTGCTAAAACAGCTTTGAACAGACCCAGAATGTCAACTGTCTGGACGACTTCTTTGAAATAGCTGAAGATGTTCTGGAGGACAAAAACAAAGGAGCCGAGCACCGCAGGGTTTGAGACGTGAAGAACGATCTTGCAGAGATTTCAACAATATATAGCAACGTCCCTGAGGATGAAATGTGTTATTCAAAGGGGAAAATGCTTATTTGAAATTCACCAGGGACTCTGAAACGAATAAGCGCTTCAATGATGACTCAAAGCTAGATTTAGAAATCCCTCTTGAAATCCAATGCAGGAGTGACGGATGAGACAGACCTGGATCTCATGATGGGAACGCACACTAGTGTCACAGTGCTTTTTACATAACACTGAGGATAATACAGAAATCAAGCAAAGGAGTCACAGATACAATTGCAAAATGGATCCAGGAATATTGGTATCCAAATGATCAGAAACTGCTGCTTGAGTTTAAGTTATTAGTTTCTCTTTCAGTGAGTGGGAGTTTGATTTATGATTTATCCTGCTTGTTTCCTCTCAAAAAGTGAGCCAAATTACAGCCAAGGGAAAAGAAAAGAACACCAATCGACGACAATTCAAAGTAAATCTTAATGCTATTAGGCCCTGAAGAGACTTTACAAAATGGCAGATTGTTGAGGAACGTCAAGTAACCAGAAACTCAGAAAAACATGAACTAAATTCAGATTGAGTGAAAATCAAAACCCGGCCATTGGCACTGGTGTGGACAGATACAGAGCAACATGTCCTTCTACAGCAGGGGTGTCAAAACTACGGCCCGGGGCCAAATGCATCTGCTTGTCTTATATTGTACTTCTTAAATATATATGGTCAAATATATTACACAGTATTCATGTTCAGTCCATTAAAGTTGAAAACATGTTCTAAGAAATCTAAATTGATAATAAAAAAAGCCCAGCAACAAATATACATAACAACCTTGAAATATACCCTTTCATATTTCCTCTTATTATAAGCAATCTGAGTATCAAGTATCAAGAATAATTTACCTACATTGGATTGATTTTTCCAACTCATAACTGAACTTAAGAGGCGAAATACCTCTAGTGAGTGGCCCAGCCCTTCGTATATTTTTCTGTATGTGGTTTAAAGTTTGGACACCCCTGTTCTACAGAGTTGTCTTCAAGAAGAGTTATAACAACGTTTTAAACGACAACACTTAGATGTTTATTTGACAATGTCATGTTAGTCTGAGGGAAAATGAGTACAAATGTTTTGATCTCTAAATCATTTATATTATTTTCGATGTTATTAGAGTGTCTATGTAGCAAGCTATTTGTTGACTCTTCCTTACACTTACAGGACTGTTGGCCTAATTACAGTCATGCCAAACAAGCAAACAGAAATATGAACATTTGGAGAGGAGATAGACAGACATTCACACACACCCACACAGATATTGAATAAATTGCTGTTCTTACCGGGTCTGTCTGATACTCTCGGCTGTACAGCTCATGGCAGTTATTGAAGATGTACTCGTAGGTGGAGTTGAGACAAGCTTTCACACAATCCTTCACCACCTGACTGGCTCTGGGGGGGGACTGGAGCTCTTGAACCTGAAAAAAACACACACAAAAAATATAAAGATAGTTCAAGTAAGGCAAGGCAAGGCAAGGCTAGTTTATTTATATAGCACCTTTCAACACAAGGCAATTCAAAGTGCTTTACAAAAATGAAAGACATTAAGAAAATGGCACAAAGTAGGCACTGAAATTAAAAACACTAAATCGTGACACTTCAGAATTGTCTTCAGGTTTGTCCTTACTGCAATAAAATAAAATGCAATAAAATATGATTATTTGCCAAACTTAATTCTAGGTTTATTTTAAGATTAAAATGTTGAACACCAATTATTTAGTATAGAATAAAATAATAATAATAATAGTAATACAACTAATAATAAAACTAGTAATAATAATAATATAAATAAATAATTATACAAATGGTAATAATAATAACAACAACAATAATAGTAGTGATAATACCAATAATAATATTATTAATTATAATACAATTGATAACAATAATAATAATAATACATTAAATTCTGCTTTGTTTTGTTAATTTTATTAAATTCTACATGTGGTATACTTTGTGCAAGTTTGGTACGTGGAGTGTATAAAATACATCAAAACAGTCTTTGACAGATGTACCTTCATCCTGAAGAAGGTGATACTGGTGAGCAGGTCCACGGTGGACTTGAGGTCCTGCAGCCTCTCAGGACTGCTGGCAGGGAAGTTGTTCTGCAGTCAGACGGAAAAGAAATACAGTGAGGCATCACACATGAAATCACATCCATCTAAGTCCACTGTGTGTTTGCGTGGCACGATCCAGCTTAGGAAACACTTATTCCTGCGCGGGTGAGCAGTGTTTCCTGGATGTGTCTGTGCATGCTTCAGGGTGTCAGTCTAATTATCACATCCGCCTGCTTTGTTTTAGTGTTTTTCACAAAGCGTAAGATGAGAGGAAAGAAGAACAGTAGAGAGAAGGAGGTGAGGGGTTTATTCTTTACCATGCAATTTGACTACCTAACCACTATTAGTTGTCATCCATTATAAAATATCAAAAGATAATTTAAAGAGAGCAAACAGTAAAATGGAGAGGCATCTTACGCGGTACATGGACAGGTCTATCCTCAGAGAGTTGTGAAGCTGGTCTAGTAGCTTGACAAATCTCTCTTTCTGCAGGAAAACAACAAAGAAATGGAAATATTAACACCAGACTACTTAAGAATATTTAAGAGCCGATGCCATCAACACCAGGATAACAAATGACCATAATGTTAAGAAAGGAAATTATGATTGCAAAAAAAAACATTTTACTTTTGTAAGCAAAGCACAACCACAATTACACTTTACTTTTTTAAGCAAATTATGATATTGCGCTTTTTGTTCTACAAGCCTTTATGAATAACATTGTTGCATTTATTCATTATAAATGTGTCTGGCTGGTGTGACTCACCCCAAAGTTAGAAGCAGCAAAGCGGTCAGAGGCAGAGACGTTGTTGGTGGCCTGGGTGGTGTGAGCGTAGTAGGCGTTGATGTTAGCCAGGAGGGTACTCATCACCGCAGGCACACCCGGGCACATGTACTTAGATGACAGGCAGGCAAAGTGACTGAAAAAGAGAAATATTGAGGGACATGTAAGCAAATGAAGGAGCCTGTACAGAGAGCTTAATGCATATAAATAACTGCACTCAAAGAAACAGGGGCTTGTGTTAAAGGTCCCCTATTATACTGTTTTTCATCAATATATTATAGGTCTCAGATATATACAAAACATGACTGGAGTGTTTGGCTCCAAACACCAAACAGATCATTTCAGCATCCCATAATCCCCTCTGTTTCAGCCCTGTTTCAAAAGTGCTGATTCTCTGTCTGTTACTTTAGATGAAAATAAGGAGCCCCTCCCCACGCCCCTCGGAGAGATATTTGGTTAAAAAGAACACAATGGTGCTCTAGGAGGAGATTCAGGTGATAAGGTGGGGGGGGGGGGGTTACCTTGGTTGGTGATTGGCTAATGGTTACACATGCCAAAAAAATCGTTATGACATCATAAAGTGGCCAAAATCTGTTCAGCTCATTTTCAGACAGGTTTTTATATAAATGGATCAGGACAAAAAGTGAGAGAATCTTTTTTCCTGAAACTTTCAGAATCTCTTTACACAGAAGGGACACATGTTGATGTCTAAAAAACATGAACAAGTGGATTTTGCATAATAGGTGACCTCTACATAATCATATTCTAAGTTCAGGCTTTCAGGTAGCAACATACGTCATGGCCTGGTAGATGGACTCCACTCCATAACGCATTGCAAACTCATCCACAATTTCCTGGGGAGTCTCCTCAAAGTACACCTTCCATGCGTCATCCCCTTTGGCGTCGGGGATCTTCACAACACCGGTGTTCTGGATGTCTGTTACATAGTGGAAGAGGTTCTACGCAGAGGAACAGAGGAACGAGTTAGAGAGAGAATTGGAGGAAATATCTAGAGACCATAGGTGAGAAAAATATTGGAAAGGAAGGCAAAAATAAATTACATGTAATAGAGAGTCTAGGTTAAAGAGAGAGCAAGCACAAGTGTTAAATGGCTTTTAAGAGCATTTGCACATCTTTAATCAAAGCTTTTTAATCTTACATTGGACAAACACAGAGCAGATTAAATCTGGTTTGTTAATCTTTAAATGGCTTGGTTACATAAATATCCATTACACTACATTGCGAGGCCAACACAAGGTGCTGTCTTGACTACTCGACCCTGAAGCGTTTATACTGCTGTAAAAGTCGTCTACGTGGTTTATGGCCACTTATGTGCAGCAATAACAGCGGCCATTTGTCTGTTAAGGTTCAGCTAATATGCTCAGTTGAGTAATGGGCTGGACTCCACACAAAACTGTGATCGGTCTACAATCAATCAGCACAGAGCCGGAGGAGAAATGTGTCTGATGTCTTGCTGTTGGAAGTGGATCTTTATCTCATGAGAGCAAAGCAAACTTCCTGCAGTATTACCTTTATTGGAAATGGATCTTAACATTAGATGTAAGAAGAAAATAAGGAAATTAACCTGTTTGGCATGGCTCCTCAGGAATACTGTGCACAGAAATACTCACAGGTACACAGACAAACACTACACTACTATAAACCCTAACGGAAAAAGTAGCATTGCAAAATCCTAAATTTGAATGATTGATTAATTGAAAAAAATCTGTTATTTAAAAAATCAGCTTTCTTTTATTCTACAAATAATATGAGTGCTTCGATGCTTCAAACTATTCGGTAGAGACCTGAGAGATTCCCTGTTCTTATTTTATCTACAGTAATGCCCAATCTGCGATTAGTGTGCGATTAGTGTGCATCTACATAGAAAACAGAAAGTTCTAAATTATATTGTGTACAATGTGTATGTTTTTATGCAGACCAACTATGAGTTAATCAATGCACAGTGACTTGGACCTTTAAGTAAAAGCACATGAATAAGTATAAGCTTTAACGTGGGATAAAGTATCTGTTTGTTTGTTAGTTAAAAGTAAGTGAAATCCATTGTCAATATTCCTTAAGATCTTGAAGCAAAAATGCATGTATAAAGCCTCAAAATTGTATTTACGAGAAGCTCTTGAATGTATTTAATAAGAAACTGTCTGTTCAAACACACAAACACATTGAGCTTACTTCATGCAAACAGGTGTACTGAACGTGATAGGGGGCCACCGTCTCCTCTCCTTTGATCTCTACATTAATGTGCATGCGGATAGCTCCAGACACAGCAGATTTGTCTGTGCGCTTGTCTGTGAAGAGCACAGCACATACAGCAACACGGTTACTGAACTGAAAACATCTGAATCAGAGAAGTTAGGTCATTCATATAACTGCAAACTATTCAAGGTATCAATACAGTTTAAATTAGCTGATATAAAGACATTTGACTGACCCAGATTGTACCAGACGTCCATCTCTCCGCTCAGAGTGCGGACCTCGATGATAGTTTGACCGAGGAAGTCGTCTGACTCCCTCTTGAACTTCTGCTTCACACGAGACTTAATGTCGTCGTCCTCATCCCACACTCGCACCTTGATGCGGTCCGATGAGTTGTGACATTCACTTAAACAGACAGAGTCAGCTGCTAAATATAGTACTTACAATGACAGATGGCCAAGATGGAAAGGTGGATTACTATCAGCAATCATGACTCATACAAATGTAAAAATACTGTTAATATAATCAACAGTATGCATATAGAAATGCTTAGCTGAATGAGTCAGACGATTATAACAGGACCGTGAAGTTGTTAAAAATACATTGTATAATGTTAATGAACAATTATTCCTTTAAGTCCTTCATCAAGCCACAAAGCTTAACATTTGCAGGTTACTCAAATGTGACGATTCACTAGTTTTCTCTGTTTTATATCATTGTAATTTGAACTGTTTTTGACTTTTGCTTAAAGGTGGGGTAGGTAACTTTGGAGAAACCAGCTCGAGTGCGCTAGAATTTGAAAATACACAGCCGGAAAAAATCTGCCACTTCCTTACAGATTCCCTCCTCCAACACACACGAACGCGCACATGACCAATGAGGGCACGAGATAAGTTTGTGCACGAGATAGAAGGCTGACAGGCAGGTAGGCCATCCAGTTACTTTAGCCGGGCTGGCTAAAATGATTGGTCGTGCTTTTTACAGTACTACGGCTTCCACAGATGACATTTTTGTATGGATTTTTTGTCAAAGCACTTCAGATATTCATTGCTATCGGGATGTTAAGAGCATTCCATGGAATATAACAAAAAGGGTATCTCAAGCCGGTTTCTCAAACTTACCTACGCCACCTTTAACTGGAAAAAATAACCAACTTAATAACTGGTAATACAAATAATACATTTTGCAGCGCTACCTTAAATGTCACATATGTTTGCATGCGGTGTTCACTCACAAATTAAAAGTCTCCTCCCAGACAGGGTTGAGGTTGCCATAGATGGTCTTGGTCCTCTTTTTGGTCTTTCCCACCTGGACAGTGACGTATGGATCACTGGAGCCGGTCTTATCCTTGGCTTGTAGACCCTGAGCACACAACACTGGGGAAAAGAGGGTAAAGATGCCTTGCTGGTCAGTCAATTTGTGTATGTCTGGGTGCAAATCATGTGACCTCGTGCTCTACTGCCCTACAAACGCCACCTGTGCTCTCTTCATTCAAACGCCAGCTTGTCTCTTTTTATAGACCGAACACCTGAAATGTGCCGTCCCCTCTGACTTTCATGTAGACAGGGTTGGCCAGCTCTGTTCAAAGCTACTGTACTGTACTGATTTAAAGGTCCCCTATCACACTGTTTTTCATCAATATATTATAGGTCTCAGATATATACAAAACATGTCTCTGAAGTGTTTGGCCTCGAAATACAAAACAGATCATGCATTGTAGCATCCCATAATCCCCTCTGTTTCAGCCCTGTTGCAAAAGTGCTGATTCTGTGTCTGTTACTTTAGATGAAAATAAGGAGCCCCTCCCCACGCCCCTCTGAGAGATATTTGGTTAAAAAGAACACAATGGTGCTCTAGGAGGAGATTCAGGTGATAAGGTGGGGTGGTGGTTACCTTGGTTGGTGATTGGCTAATGGTTACACAAGACACAAAATCGTTATGACATCATAAAGTGGCCAAAATCTGATCAGCTCATTATCAGACAGGTTTTTATATAAATGGATCAGGACAAAAAGTGAGAGAATCTTTTTTCCTGGAACTTTCAGAATCTCTTTACACAGAGGGGACACATGTTGATGTAGAAGAGACATGAAGAAGTAGATTTTGCATGATAGGTGACCTTTAACTCCCCTCTCACCTGTGATGCAGATCTTGGCCGACCATTTAGAAGTGCCATCAAGCACGCTCTGTTTGATCTGCTTCATGTGGGTGACGTGGGTGGCCTTGGGGGCGGCGAACATCTCCTGAATGAGTTCGAAGATCTCAGGTTTGTTCCTCTCGCGGATCTTCATGCGGTCTTTAAGAACCATGATGATGTTCTGCGTTCGGTCCTCAGCGCCGTGTTTGGAGCTCTTCTCTGCTGCTCCTGGTTACAATACAGATTAAGACCGGAAAGGATTAGACGTGTTAAAGGAAATATAAGTGGTGTCATATGAGAGGTGTTGATATATGATAAAGTGATTAGTGAAGACAATAACAGAGCAGAACAACATTGCATGGCGGATGCATTTCTACATGTTTAAGGAAGAGGGATTTCAATACATTAAAGAGAAGAATGCCTGTGAAGAATGTGTAGGTGATGAAAACCTATTAATATAATGAAAGAGGGCCACATTTGCAGAGCTATAAAACGCTGAGTAAAGGAGAGATGGAAAAGCGAGGCGGATGACAACAAAAGACAAATGGCTTTTAATATCCTCTCGAACAAAATAAGAAAGTAGGAGTGAGGGAGTAGGAGGAGGAGGAGGACTCTGTGCTTGGCAGTGACAAATAAGACGATAAGAGTAAATAGATTGAGTAGATAGTTCTATTATTAATATAAAAACATCAGCACTGACACAGCGAAAAAATATAAAAACATAAAGTCAGCAAATGGTTGTTCGGCTCCTGTAAATATTTAATGGTATATCTCAGTAACACCATGTGAATATTATACTTTCATATAGCCTACTGTACTATGAATATAATACGAAGTCAAAGCTTTAGCTCTTATATATCCCTAAATATGATAGGCTATACAAAGCCTATTTAGGACCAAGTACTAAATATATAACATTAAAAGGAATAGCTAAGAAATGTTGGGAAGGACGCTTATTTGCTTTCTTGCCAAGAGTTAGAAGATTGATGCCACGTATATTTCTGTACTGTAAATATGAAGCCAGCCCTGCTCTGAAGGTAACCTGCTGACAACTAACACTAAAGCTCACTAATCAAAATGTCATATATAACTTGTCTAATAAGTAAAAGCATTGCAACCTTTGTTAGTTGTTAAGCTAGGCTAACCGAGAGTGGCATCAAGCGTGTGTTGCTTACTTTAAATTACATATTTTGAATCCTGCCTTTTTTCCAGTATTTTAGTGGCTAAAATGGCGCGTATATGTTCGGGCACTTCACTTACTTTGCAGACAGTCGGCATTGAGTAGATCTTGGCACTTCTCGTGGCATTTGACTCCACACTCGGTACAGCGCATGCCCTGGCGAGCGATACCCCACAGCAGCCCCTCACACTCATAGCAGTAGGTAGGTGTGGTGGCTGTCCACACCTCGAAATTGTGCGGGGTTGTGCAGGAGATTGGATATATGAGGGCCTGGAGGGTCTTCTTGTATACATGACTCTTCTGCAGGAGAGAGAAGTAAAGGTTCAGCTGAGTATGATAACATGATGATGTGAGATACTGTGAATTATTATTCTAATCGAGTACTGACCAGTTCTTCGTTGTGCAGGGTGCTGGACGTCAGGGCTGAGGTGATGCCTGCCTTCCTGGAGCTCTGAACCAATGACTGAGTGACAGGAAAGAGGAGGGGTCAGTTTCCCTCAGATCCCTACTCAATATCTTATTTCTTTATCAAGACACATCTCAGTGCAGCCTGTGAGGCAATATGTTTTTATTACTGTCTGTCTGGCAATGCTCCCCTGCAAGAACTACAGCATTTAAAGTGCTTCCTCTCATAAGAGGGATCCATTTTCTGGTGAGATGAGAAAACTAGTATACCTTCAAAGGTGTTGAAGTTACTCACCATAGCCTTTGGTTTGGCATTGACGGTGGAGGGAGGGAAGGGAAGGGAGAGATTTGATGTTAGACAAAGACGAGAAAGAGTGGAAGGATGGGGGGGTTCCATAGGGAATAATGTTAAGAAAGGCTGCATTCATTGTGCATATGCTGTGGTTATCATGTTTAAACAAAAATGGACATCTGCAATAAAAGGATGGGGGGGGGGAAACAGGGTGAACCTAGAGCCAGATGTGGAGACTTAAAGGCGAGAGCAGCTGCAACCAAACTTGAGAATTTGATGTGTTTATTGAGTAGCATCCTTTTGCATTTCATGAAGATAGGACCTCATCCTGTATGATCAATTACATAAGACACTCTGACGTGTGTGTGTGTGTGTGTGTGTGTGTGTGTGTGTGTGTGTGTGTGTGTGTGTGTGTGTGTGTGTGTGTGTGTGTGTGTGTGTGTGTGTGTGTGTGTGTGTGTGTGTGTGTGTGTGTGTGTGTGTGTGTGTGTGTGTGTGTGTGTGTGTGTGTGTGTGTGTGTGTGTGCATGAAAGCAGGAGACAGAGAGAGGAAGAGGAACAGGTGGTACCTGACTGTGACTGCTACCTACTGACAGCAAGATGTATTAATGAAGACAGCATCAGAGCTAATTACCTGTGTATGGTAAGCTTGGATCTGGTGTGAAAATGGCACACTGAGCGTTGCCTGGCAGTTATGATAAAGAGCCAAATTGCTGTCCTATTTCTAGACTGCCTTCTGTTTCACTAGCCTCGACTAAAGAAAGTTTATTTTTTTACTTTTCTATCTGAATACCTAAAACTGTGTGTTTTTCTATATTATTAGACTAAACTTTCTTAGAAAATGAAAGCCTGTTCTCATCTTCTTAAAGACAGAAATGGATAATGCTGCTCAGGCTAGGACAATAAACTCTAAGGGAAAGACTCGATGAGTTACAGTTTTCTCAAGAGGATTTATATTTATCTCTGTGTTACCCCTAATGAGGCAGTGTCAGGGAGGCATGGGGATGATGGCAGCAGCTGGTAATGAAAGGTCTGTCAGTATGACAGCATCTAGCAAACTGTCAATGACAGGAAACCAGCTCGCCCTCGATATATTGTTTTTTCGGCAAAGTCCATGTAGTGCAGTGGGCTAAAAAACTGTGAGAAATAAAAGTCAAAAGAATGAATGAACGAAAAGAACAATGAGGTAAAGAGAATAAGATCAGAACACGGGGGGTTCTCTCTGCGATCTGAGCGATAGATGGACTGGGGAGATGTGAGACTCTTCATCTGGGAAATATAAAGAGATTAGAGCAGAAACTCACCAGATCTCGGACGAGAGGCATAGCTTTCCTCTTCCTGAGGTCTGGCATGCTGTCAATGCTATAGAGAGCGCCACCCATCCTGGAGACAAGACATGAGCAGAGCAGGATTCAGCTACACAACAAATCTATTGGACAATAAATGCATTCAGGCATTAAAAAAGCCATGAGCTTGCTTTTACACTTCGTGAATTATAGATTTTCAATGACCGTAGTAGTAACAGCGTCATGGTTACTTACCCTGCTGATAAAAGCAGAGAGGCAATGCCAACACTTTCTCCCCGGGCCTGAGGAGAAGAGAAAGATGAGAAGCGGAAAAGAAGCAAGCAGGGTGCCATTAGAGCTGTGGCTGGGAAAATGGGAAGCATAGCATATTATAGTACTCTCTATAATGCTTTATATACTGAGAACAAAGAAATTGGGAGAGACTCGTGGTATTCCTAATCCAAAAGCACTATTTCTTGTAAGTTTCACTGGTAGTGGTTGCCAATGAATGCAAGGGTTCCCTGAATTCATAAATGAATAATACAACAGTGGTATACCTTGGAAACTCGAAGAAGATTACAAATAGATGGTGATCCATGTAATCACAATAATTCTATATGCTCTATTATTGACATGTTCTGTGTCTGCCTGCTTGTTTAAAGAATGATACACAGCATTGATACTCAGGTCACACCTACGAACAGATCATGATTGGTATTGGTAATGCCATGCTTACAAATGACACTGAGCAGACATACTGTGACTTCTCATGTGTTGCTTTACTCCCCATAAATATCTATAAGCCGCACAGGGTTCATAAAATATGAATAACATTGATTTTCACACTACTGGCCACACCCACCTGAGCATCTGCTCCGGACTACATACAAATCGCTATGAGGGTGGCAAGCAACTGAAAAGAAAATAATGAAATGGCAAAACAGTACAAGGGGTGAACAGAAACTATTAAACACAAGACAAAATAATTCACAACAATAACCAAAAACTGGGGAAAAGGTGGAACAGTCAACAAAAGCTGGAAAAAACACAGTAACAGTAACATACAGGGACTGATGCAACAAGTCAGTGAGCTCAAATACTAGAGAATACTAATGAATTAACCAGAGCAACAACAACAGAAAACATATTACCCAATCCTATGAGACTATACATTTATCTGGCATTACATTCACTGCTGTGTGAACAAAGGTACACTAAAACACACACACACACACACACACACACACAGGTTGTACCTCTTGCAGCTGTAGTCGTACTCTACTGAAAAGTCGCAGCCAGTTGGCTTTGGCTCTGGCAAGACCAGGCTCCATGATTTCCCTCCTTGGGAAGCTTGAAGAATGAATAAAGAAGGAACAACATATAAAATAAACGTTATTCATATAGAGCCTGTTTGTGCTCTTTAAAATGATAAAGTGAATGTACATGTGTATTTCTCGGAGAGAACTTTCATTGAATAATAAAAGTAAAAGCATCTAGCAGTATTACGTTGATTTTGCACACCTTCTAAAAGAAAACATGATGATTAAAAATGTAAATAATCATTTTTGAAATTATTATTTGCTATATTATTAGAATGGCGCTGGTTTATCTGGACAGGACCTAAACGTTTTTTTATTTTATTTCTACCACTTCCCCAGAGTTTCCTATGTTTCTTTTTCGAAATGCAAGTATATTGTATGTTCTTTGTTAGTGAGAAATTGGGAGAGAGTGATATCTTGTTTTAATCTTCCTCTAGGAAGTGTATGAACAGTGTTCACCTTGGGACAGGGGGCTCCTCTGGTTTTTGTTCAGGAGGCGTGGGGACACTCTCTGTTTCAGGAGTAATCTCAGGAGACCGAGGTTCCTCCAGTGGCTCCTCAAATTTGGGTTCAGGCTCCAGCGGCTCGGTATATGGAGCTGGAAACTGCGGTGTGGTTGTGGGGGTGGATGTGGGGGTGGATGTGATGGTGGTTGACAGAGCAGGCTGGGTGGGTACAAACGGGGGTTTTGAGGGTTCTGCACTGAAAGGGGGCAACGTGTCGTCCTGCGTGACTGGAAGGAGGTTAGAAGCTGTGCTGGGGGGGGGGAGCGAATCCTGGACCGGCCGCTGCTGGTGCAACGAAGCCTGCTTCTCCAGTGGAGGTCTGGGGGAGGACAGACCATCAGAGGTGGGTATGAGGGTTGGGGCAGTGCTTGTGGGTGTGGGGGTGTAGGGCGGCTCCTGGTCTTCACTGAGTGTGCCATCAAGCTGATACATATCTTCATCTTCCTCAAAAGGCATCTCCTCTCCATCTTCGTAGGTGTACTCTCCTTCTTCCACGTATATCTCAGCATCCTCTTCGGCATACAGCGCCCCCTCTTCCCCTCCATCTTTGATGTAGCCTCCTTCGTCGCTGTATATGCCTTGGGGGTCCTCCCCATCCCAGACTGGGGAACCCTCCTTGCCGTAGCTGACGGAGGAGTGGCAGGAGTGGTAAGAGTCGTTTTCATCGTAGAACTCCGATCCTCGCAAGCTCCCGCCTTCCTCAGCAACAAATTCCTCGCTGAGCTGAGAGCTGCCTCGACTCAACTCGCCCGACGAGGCGTAACGACTGTCTGTGGGACTGAGGGGAGGGGGAGATAAAGACACCTGTTACTTAAACACACCCACATGCGATTAAAGGTAAACTAGTTCCCACACAATAACATTTGGCTGGAACAATGAAGTCTGTTGGGGCCAAGAAGGGAGACAGCTAACCAATAGGAAACAAGGATTGACTTTAAACCAACCAATAAGAAAACTCAGAGCAGGGGTTTGGACTAGTGATGCATCTATTTGACTGCAAAGGGAATCATCTTTTAGTCATTGGTGAGGTTACTATGGAAACTTTACACACAGGTTAATACAGAAGCAAACACCATACAACAGCCAACGATTAGCAAAGACATGAGGACAGATTTGTTATATAAATAGACCGATCCTATTTGAGAACCTTGAGAGGTTGAGGGTAATTTATCAGCCTAGCAGAACAAAAACAGTCTATTTTTTCAGATAAATAGTGAATAATATGTTTTCATGATGATGAATGAGGCTATTGAGAGAGACCATGAGTCAGAGAGAGATTTGAGACACATGCAGGCCACACACACAAACACACACGCAGTCACTTCATTGGTTGGTTCAATAATGTGTGGAGCAGTAAAGGAGAGAACTATACATTATGGCTTTTAGACAAGCATGACACTTTGTTATTTTCTATCCATCAGCTATCTCATCATCTCTCTCTCTCATCCAACACAAAGGTGCCCTCAATCTCAGCAAAGAATTCAAAACAAAACCTCAAGACATGAAAATAAAAATAAACTAAATGTGGTGTCAAGGCCTCTCTGCAGCCCCATTATTGGGCTGACAGCCTCCTGCTGTCTTAAAAGTGAAAATTAAATGTGTACAATTAACAAGTATGGGACTCCCAGAATAAGACAGGGCTCTTCTTAGTGTCTCACATACAGGATGAGGCTGTAATAACATGCTGCTGCAACAACAGAGCCCCCTCCCCCTGCGCACACACACAGGCACTAAACAAGAATTACCCTCTCTGTTGCTGACGGTTAAAAAACAACACACTCATACACACATCTTGTCAATAACTCACCCACACAGAAACAAACAACATCGCACCTACAAGAGTTTAGGAATGGCAAAAGATGAGAATGATTCATCATTTGTGATACTGATCGGCAATTCTTCACTATGAACAGAGTACATATATAGTAGATGCAGGACCAAACGTTTTGTATATATACATATAAAGAGATAGGGTAAGAGCGCATGCATGCAAGCACAGCGAACGAGGAGGACGGGACAAGTCCACCACTGACGTCACAGCGAGACGGAGTCACAGGCCGGAGCAGGAGAAAGTAGAGGAGGAGGAGGAGGAGTTGGAGAGGAGGTACAGAGACCCACCTATCGGACAGTGAATGCCTACTGTCTAGAGAATACTGACGACTGGTGCACCGGCTCGACCCTGAGCCTGAGTCGATATCGCTGCGCCCGTTGGTGGCCGAGTCTAAACTATCATTGCGTCTGGTAAGGAGTAAGGAGGGAGGCAGAGGAGAGGGGAGAGGTGGGAGAGGAGCATCAGTAGAGCTCAGAGCAAACCCTTCAAAGAAAGATCCAACCAAACTCAGCCTCTGGTTTTCATATGAACATTGAGAAGGTTTTTGCTTGCTGTCATTTATTCCTTCTGTTCATAGTGGCCATTAAATGATACCTTCCTGTACTCAATATAAGAGATGGAGGGGGAAATCCACTGTTCTGCACAACTTATAGCATGTGGGTATATCTTTCATCTATCCATTGTCTTTTTAGTGCAATATTTATTTGTGTTCCTCCCCTGAAGCTCAACAAGGAAACAGGGACACAAAAAGGGAATCCTGCACTAGAAAGTCCTGGGAATATACCCACTTGATGTTGTCCCCATCACTTCAACTGGAAGCACAAAGGAAGGGATCCACTTTAATCAGAAGGGAGCAAGAAAAACCTCTTTTGATGTTCATATTTGACTGTTAAAAGACAGACTTGAAAATGGTGTACTCATCCTTTAAGACCTCTCACTGAGGTTGAGCACTTGCAGATGTATTTTACCCATCTAAATGTCAAACTTTCTGTTTAAGTTGTTCTAAGCAATGCATGACATTTAACCATGAACCTTGAAAAAAGCGTAAGAAATAGTGTTATTTCAAGATTTATTTTCTGCACAACGAAAAGATCCCGTGGGGTTACTGATGCTCACACACACTCAACATGCACACAAAGATACACACACACACACACACACACACACACACACACACACACACACACACACACACACACACACACACACACACACACACACACACACACACACACACACACACACACACACACACACACACACACACACACACACACACACACACACACACACACACAAAAGATAACCATGGAGGCCCTCTTCAAACAGGACCTGTATACAAGAACTGTGCTCCCAGCATGCTTGTATACACTGAGGCCAGGGTTATTCTCTAGAGGAGGAGAGCACAGTGGGACATGTTACCATGAACAGTACAGTAAAACAAAGCCACTGGGGCTGAGCTGTCTCAGGGCTAAATGCTATACTCCAGAAAGAAATATTTGCTTAAAATAGTGGAAGTCATATTTAAAATTGGTTATGTTCTCCTGTCTCAACAAAAAGACAAAAGCTTTCTTCCTGTTTCTGATACGTTATGACATCCTGCCATGTTAATCTCTTGAAAAGGAAACCACTCAGTTGTGTCTCCTTAGTGCCTGTAGGGTGCTCGTTACCTCAGGGCTCTGGTGTCGTAGCCCAGCTCATGGATTTCATCGCTGTATGAGTGTATGTACTGCTGGTTCCTGATGGGATACTGGTGCATGGAAGCGTTGGGCTGGGAGGTGGTGTAGAAGGGAGGTGGGATACTGTTACTGGTCTCACTGCGGTAGTCGCTGTCCCTGTCGTCAACGGCGCTGTCTTGATCCTCGTCTGTTCAAACAAACACAACGGGAAACAAGATTTAGTGATAAGAAACCATAAGAGAATGATGGGTCAGTTGTTTTACACAGTGTTTGTAAAGTCTTTCAGGGAGCACGACAAACAACAGGAAAAAAGCAAACAAAAATTCTGTTTTCTATAATAATGGATGTTCTCAGAAAGAAAAAAGTTTCCTTTATAGGAGTTTGCAGATACCTATCATCTTAGAATGGCCTGTAGCCTGAGAGGCAATGTTCAGGGCATACAAATTATTTCCACGTTTAAGCATAACAACTGAAGGTGATAAGTGTATCCACATTTGTATGAATTCAAGCCATCTATCATCTGGTATTTGGTCCAAACAACGACACTTGAGTGATAAAATCAACCTGAATGTTTCCATCCCCAGTGGAAATTACACTCTTAGAAAAACGAATGTGTCTCAACAAAACAACACCGAGCTTAGTTTTAATTCCACCAGCTCGTCTTTAAATCCAACAGGAGAATATGGATAGAAAGTACGCTTGGAGAAAATGTATATTTTATTGGCAGCTAATGGTCTCTATGGAAAACTACACAGGGAGATCATTACCTTCAGTGAGACATGGACAATAAATACAGAATTACTCCAAGTCGTTAGCAGAAGCACATGAATGAAACTTACTCTGCTGTTCTCCCCAGAGACTCCAATTACCTGCAAGGAGATAAAGGGTTGGAGAAACCAAATTAGGTTTGGGACACAAACTAAACATACGCAGCCGACAAAGCCAGGTAAACAAACATGTAAAGATTTGTAGCTCGCAGATATAATTATTTTGATGTCAATATGTATTCACGTGTTTGAGTTCACAAGTTCATGTATGTGAGAATAGAAAAGCGCAAGGTTTTTACAGCAGTGTACAAAAGCTTTTGTTCACATGCTGCCGTCCTTGGTGCAGCTTAGTAAATAAGAGCCGAAAATACACACGTTATTCTCTGCACGCGCAAGCATCGTGCCATCCTTCAACCCCACTGTCTACAGATGTATAGGACACACACGTCATCACTTTATCATCATCAGCAATAAAACAGAGCTCATGGTTGTGGCACCCAAGGCCCTGCTCCAGAAGGTTGGTGACTTCGTCCTCGAGGTCGACGGCTGCTCCATCTCCCCATCTCCTGAAGCCCGCAACCTGGGTGTCATCCTCGACTCCACCCTTTACTTGCATTCCCACGTCAAATCTGTGACCAAATCGGCCTTTTACCACCTGAGGAACATTGCCAGACTCCGACCGTCACTCTCAGAGTCGGTTGCCGAAACCCTAGTGCATGCGTTTGTCACCACCCGCTTGGACTACTGCAATGGTGTCCTGTTCGGGGTTCCCAACAAAACCCTGGACAGGCTCCAGTATGTCCAAAACTGTGCTGCTAGGGTACTCACGCACACAAAGCCGTGGCAGCACATCACTCCCACCCTCATCCACCTACACTGGTTGCCGGTCAAGTCCCGCATATCCTACAAAGTCCTCCTCCTTACCTACAAGTCCCTCCATGCCCTTGCCCCCCAGTACCTATCGGACATCCTTCACCCACATGCCCCACCCCGGAACCTGCGGTCCTCAGACTCTGGCCTGCTTACCACCGCCCGCACCAAACTGCGAACCTTCGGGGACAGAGCCTTCAGTGTGGCAGCCCCCACCCTCTGGAACGCTCTCCCTGCGGAGATTCGCAACATCCCCACACTTGACGCCTTCAAAAGGGCCCTCAAGTCCCATCTCTTTGCCAAGGCTTTCGGCCCCTAAATCGATCTGTTGTTTTGTCTGTCTGACTTTTGTTTTGTTATGTTTGTTTTTGCCCTATTACTTGTAAAGCGACCTTGGGTCCCTTGAAAGGCGCTATATAAATCCAAGCTATTATTATTATTATTATCACTAGACAGTCAGTCAGCGTGGTGTGTGTGTGTCTGACATGTGTATGTCAGTTCGCATTCAACACTCATCGACATCTAGCACCTATAAATGATCCTACTCAGGCAGGCTTTAATGCATGATTTGTCACATCAGCTTTCCACCCTTCCTCCTTCCATCTATCAGTCTCATTTCTACCTCCTGTATTATCCCTTTCTCAGGAGCAGACGAGGAGTCATAAAAAGGACACAGCGGGGCACAGAACAGGAGGAGGTGTATTGTGACACTCACAGCACTGCGTGGCCGGTGCATGGAGTGGTCGCTCCTGTTCTTCTTGATCGGCGTACTGAGGGGAAAACAACAACAAGAAACATCAGAAATTAAGATCCAGTACTAATAGATATTGGCTCTTTCAATTCTGCTGTTATTATAAATGTAATTAGAGAGACAGAGAGTGTGGGAAATGAAAAAAAAGAGATGGATAAGAAACTGAGTAGGAAAGGGATTATGAAAGATAACGCTATGAAAAGGAATGAATAAATACATGAGGAAATATAGATGACAGATGGTGCGGAGACAGTGATGGGAATGTGGAAAGTACAAAAGTTCTCACATCTTGATCTCTCATGGCATTTAGTTGTTCAAGTTTCTTGGCCCAGTATCTTGCTTCTTCCTCAGGAATGTCTGCAGCAAACAACATATATGAGACGGTTTCTTCCTTTTACATTTTATTGAAACACATCAATAATTCAGAAATCTTGAATTTATAAATGAACCACATGACATATTGAAGCACAGGGTAAGGTTGGATAAATGTGAGTATGGTGAAAAGTCAGACCTAGTGGCAGTTCAAAGCGGGTGTCAAGCAGCAGCCTGTGAAAGGTTGGGTCTTTGGTTCCACAGATCTCATTTTCAGCCATGATCGCATTCAGGTCCAGGGTCAGCCACTGGCCTGGACCCTCCTGAAAAGAAGGATTGAGGAATATGAACAAAATGACTGCAACTTTACTCACTGCATGATATATATGTTGTTTGCCACGTGTGATTATCAGGCTATATGTCACTCTCGGAGTCTCACATAATGGCTTTGATTAAAATAACATTTAATGGCACATGTATGTCTCCATATGTTCTTCGGTAGTTTTAGTAATTGCATTCATTCAATCACTCAAATTAAGTATTGGTTAACACGTACTGTAAGTATGGCTAATAACACCTAACGCTGGGACCCAGAGAGAGAGAGTGTGTGTACCTCGTTGGACTGCCGTATGTTGCGCAGGGGGATCCATAAGGTGCCCACCATGGTGTCCCAGATCAGGCCTTTATTCCACACCTCCACTGTCAGGCCCAGATCCAGCCGGTTGATCTCACTGCAGGTAAAAGAAGAGACGGATTAAGAAAAGAAAAACCAGTTAGGAAAAAAGCAGAGGCAAGAGAGTAAAATAATAGGTGTTATGGAAATAATTATCATAAGACGCCAATTAGTAACAAACAGGACAAACCTCGATGTCTGTTTACCTTCTTTAAGGACACAGGCGGCTTAGCCAATAATGTTATTGTTCCCATTCTGTGACCGGTCAATACTGGGTCACAGATGGTCTGTGTTGTGGGTACACTGGGACACTTCCTTCTCTGTATTTGTGGACTCCAAGGTAAAATCTTCGAGGTCATAAGTGTCCGAGGCAAGTAGCTCAGTGTTCCCACACTGTTTAGGCTATCTCCTCAAATATGTTGTTTACTCTCTGCGAAACCAGTTAGATGGGCTGGCAAGAGAGAGGCTCTCCAGAATTGACGTGGCAACTCTACCGTGGAGTCAGAACCTCTGACTCTTGGATTTGTGATGTGAATACTCTGGTACCAACTCCAAATAAATCACAGTGGTTTGACATCAAAGCTCCGACTCTTCCCGTGTCTCCTTCCTGAGTCGGTGACTCCACTGCATGCTACAAAGAAGTTTCCTCTACAATAGGTAATGTCATAAAAAGTGGAGACAGGGTTGCGAACAGACAGCTGAGTGCAGAGGGCTTTCAACAGAAATACAGTCTATGCCATCAGAAGCTGCACTTAACCTGGTGATGGACGTGCACTATGATTCATTCGGCTGAGGGAAATGAGTCATTCTGCATGAAGATGGAACAAATGTGTGATTGTCAACTAGGCTGCTGGCAGGATAGAAAAGAGAGCACAGATAGAAAAACAGCGGAGTTCTTTATTTCTGTATGACAAACAACAATGAACTCTGCCTCATTTTTCCATCATGCAACACTCATACAGCAACTACTGTCAGGGAATCATTTGCCCTGCATGTCCTCCTTCACCCTCTGACGCAGAAGCCCATTGGACAGCCGCTATCTCCCTTAAGGAGGGGCGGCCCTAGCATTTTGTTGTTGTTACCAGTTTATGACCGGGCAACTCTCGGTCAGAGATAGTTATTGTTGTGGGACACTTGGAACACATCCTTCTCGGGGTGTAGATGACCCCGAGCCATAACCGACAACTAAAGTAATTCAGTGTCCTCAGCTGTTTAGTCTATCTATTGAAGAATGTTGATTACCCTCAGTGAACGAGTTAAAACTTCCTACCAGAAGGAGACCCCCCCAGAATTGATTTGGCATCTCTACCTGTGGTCAACTCGTGGCCCGTGACATGTCTTGTGAATTATCCGGCCGAAGCTCCAAATAAACCGTCAGTGTTTGCCATGAAAGCTCCAGCTCTCCTCGTGTCTCTCTGAGTCCTGTTTCCAATTGCTTCAGAAGTTTCCCCCACAACTATCACTAAGGTCTGCAGAAGCCAGGCTTTGTAAAGTGATTGCAAATCTGACTTGCAGATTATCAGATCAGTAAGCATTGCTCATTGTCACACTGTGCCTCTTCCCAAGCCCACTGGCTGTCTTAAGTGAAACCTAATAATAACCACAGCTTTGATGTGAAAGCTGACATTTCTGTTTTCTTCAGAGCCAAAGGGGAAATCTGGCAAATCACAAAATGGTGTGTTGCTTCCCTAAAGGTAAAATAAATAAACATAGAGGCAGTATCTGTCGCGTTTGGCTGTTTTTTCCCCAATTCAGTCAACTTTCTGGAGCTATGAGGTGCAATTAAGCCTAGAGAAACCCTCTACACGGTGTTGTGTGTGTGTGTGTGTGTGTGTGTGTGTGTGTGTGTGTGTGTGTGTGTGTGTGTGTGTGTGTGTGTGTGTGTGTGTGTGTGTGTGTGTGTGTGTGTGTGTGTGAACTCTGCTGCAGCAGGTGTTATGTCATTCACTCAGGCTTCAAAAGGAGTAAGGGAGTGAGGAAGAGAGGAAGCAAGAGGGCAAAAATAACTCCTTTTAGGAAGTATAAATGTCACAGCTGACCGTGCTGCTCTGTGTTGAACAACATCTGGGTGCTCAATTGAGCCTGAAGTGACATCTTCCTTCATGTGAATTGACAGTATTCATCCCTTTTTAGAGCCTATATTTGAACTATTTATATATTAATCTGGAACTGATCTTGACACTACATGTAGATTTTCTGGAACTATGTCAACTAAGTTTACAGCCACAAAGATATTGCATGATTTATTGATAGTTTCACAAAATATATGTTTAAACTAAAAGCTGCTGTTCCATCAAAGTTAGAGCTTGAGGTTTATATGAAATAATATACTTAAAAGAGTACTCCACCCATTCAATATTGCACTTCTTTAACATGGTCCAGAATCATCAAAAACAATTGTATTTGTTATTTCATGCGTTATTAAATACTTGTCAATACCTAGGGACAAATGAATCACAATGCAACCTGAATGTCTTTAGTTCACTGGGTGATGAGGGCTGTTTTACAAAATCATGGCTCAACTGAACCCTCCTTTTTCAATGTAAAGCCTCCTTCACATAAACTTTAATACATGTACAGTCTGTGAGCCTTACTCTGCATCCTGCCTAACTTCAATGGAACATAATGGAATAGGAAGCAAGGTTTTGCCAAGCTGTGAAAAGAGAGGCACCACGTGTGCTATTCAAAAGGAGAAGGTAGAGAGGGAAGAGGTGTGTAGTAAGAAATAGATTTTAAATAGCACTGTCTATCTGCCAATTAGGCAACACAGTGGGAAAGTCATGGTGAGATAAAAGGTTGGCAAGAAGAGCACTCACAACATGAAGTCCTGCTCCCAGCATGGCTGACTGCCACGCACAGCGATGGTTGTGCTCTTAACATTCTGCACCTTCAGTGTCACGTATGTGTTAAATTTCTCTGGAAAAGAATAAAATACAAATACCATTAGTCAGGTTCCTTTGTGTGTCTTTTATTAACAATCCAGGTGACATCCAAGAGTCAAAACTCACCTTGGGGTCTATCGAGCTTGCCTTTCTTCACTGTAAATCAATAGAAACAAAAAAAAAGAAGTTAGTCTTAGTATGAAAGAATTGAGCTATTGTGTCACATTTCCAAACATGGTAACGTCACAGTTATAACATTCAGTGAATCCTCAAAAGCTTTTCTAAGCATATGCATGATGTGAACCTAACCTATACAGTCCAGTCTCTGCCTGTAGCTCATGTAAACAGAAGCTTAGTTGTCTGGTAAATCATAGTAGCCTGGCATTTTAAAAGAGGAGGCGATCTGCTCTTCTCAGCCTGGTCTCCTCTATCCGCTTTGATCAGAATGCCACAATCTCAATATGAAAGACTGCATCCGTTCAGTAGGAGATGTCAGGATCTCTGAGTCACAGGGCCAGAAGCTGATGTCAGGGAGGAGAGAGTGGCCACATGCCTGGTCCTCTCTGAATGATGCATGTGTATGTATTCCTGCATAGTAGACAACAGGAGGTGGTGGATAAAAGACAGAGCAGTGCTGCTTTTTGTCTAACACAACAGACGGGGCTCTGTTGAGGTGCCACTGCCAGCTCGTCCACGCAGGGACCTCTGGAGGCACCAGACTGACTTTTTAAACCACACTGACGTCAACGGCATACTCATTATTTATCAATCCGACTCCCTGCTGATGCCCAGCGTCCCCATGTTCAGCAGCGAGGTATTAATATTCAGAGAATCTCTTTTCTTTTTAAACCCCTGTTGATTGCCTCTTTTCACTGATGTTACATTTCAGGAAAGAAACACAGGGACTAAGCTCAATACATCTTATTAGACCTTGACAGCAAGCCCTTAAACTATCTAAACATGAGTGAATTTCTGCAAGAAAACACATACATGTATGAACCACAGTCAAACTCCATTAAATTGAAATAAGTAAATACTTAGCGCTCCCTGTTATTAAACCAAAATTAGGGGGACAAAAGTAATGCTGATGAAGAAACACACACTGAGTCACTTTCTTAGTCAGTGACAGCAGAACAAGCACGGTAATCATTGTAGACAAATTGGCTTCTAAAAATAGCATCAACCCAGCAAACCCTTGCCTGATAATCACCAAAATATCAGTCTGGTATTCATGAGGCAGGTGGCGGAGTAAGTGGTGTGGTGGAGCATGTGCTTGGGTGCCGACTTCAAAATACAGTCAAACACACATCCTGATACTTTAGCTGCTGACAAGGCAGGGAGGGTGATTCTCCATGGAATCCCTGAATATACTGTAAGTCATTTCACAAAGAGGCGTTCCAATTCATTTGCATTTAACAGAGAGTTTATTACCGATGCACATCTAACACTCTCCCTCTCCTCACCATCACCACTAGTCATTGTTGATTTCTCTCCTTCTCACTCAATCACTGGCTCCTACAAGCTCCAAGCCATGAGGCGAGTATGCACGTGTGCTCCCTTTCTATCTATTTCTCTTGTGCTCCATTAATCTCTCTGTGCAGCCGGATGCGAGCAGAGCGCGCTGCATCCCCAAGACTAAAAATAACCACTTGAGTGTGACAGGGGTGGGGGGTGCCGGAAAGGGGTGTGTGCTTACAGCTCTAGGCTTAAGACTTAAACACCATTCCTGCGGTTATAGCACAAGGGAGTGAAGAGGAGTAGGTGGAGAAAAAAAACCTCAACAGAAAAGGTCCCCTCCACAGCAATCACAGAGTCTGGTTTTCTCTTGCTTTGCTCTGAACAATTTGACAAATACATTGACTCAGACGACCTAAAAGGAGCTTTTTATTTTCTGATGTTTTTATAATCAGAAGCTTTTGAGGAGCCCACGCTGCAGAGCAATTATACTGAGGCAAGGCACAACAATATAAACTGAAGACAGGGAATGCAGAGAAGAACAATCTAAAGGTTATAGCAAAAAACAATTAAATGAAAAACAGCTGTGCAGTTTACCTCGAGGGAATAAATCAACTACAGTGACTAGTGTATGAATATTATACACATAATGCAATGGTAGTCACCCATGATTGAATATAGACTCTCATATAGACTAATTAAACATACAATATGTACGTCTCTAACACTAAGGGTCTGTCACTCAAAAGAATAACAATAGATAGGTTTTGTAACAAAATGGGGGATTATGTTTTTATTTGTCTTTCAGACTGCTTCTCCCAGTTTGGATTACTTCATTGTAAAAAAAAGCAGCCAAATTATCCGCACAGGGCTCCTCCTCCCCAAAAGAAATGGCTTTATAATACAAAAAAAAAAGAAAAAAAGGGTAATACACTTATTAAAACACTTTCACGTGCAAATCAGTGTTTTTCCAGCAGGAACAAAATATAAGGGGTATACGAGCTGAGGGCTAATGTTAGCTTGGCTTGTTTCTCTGATTACTTCCGGAAGTCCAATGACTAAAAGTTAAAATATATCATTAAAATCCACAACAATCGGAAAAGTGTATGGTTAAAACATAGATTAAAACGTCATCAATCAAAATATCTTCTGGCACAAAAGCACAATGCTAAAATAAAGTGTTATCCTAAATGTAATTTTCACTAGGTTTGAAAACGGTTGCAAACATTTGGTATAATGTGAGTTATACCTTATTTATTATTATACAACAAATATTTATAGGTTTAGAAATGTTTAGACCTTTTAATGAGGAAATGTTACAAAGAACACCTTTGAAAACCTGTGAGAAACATTAAAATCTGGAAATGTAAGTAAAAAATATAAAGACTGCAGACTTTAAACCATCTGCCTATAAACCTTTCAGACCATAGAGTATTTAAACAGTATCTTCAGCCTTGGAATCATTAACCACATAATGCTGCAGTAAGTATGTATATATTGTTATTTCCATACAACTGATCTTTTTTCCTAACTGTTTTCAGACCTACAGCAACCCTGTTCATTATAACAGTAACGCAGCAGTGTGTTTGAAGTGGTAATGAACTAGCTAATTCTTTGTTGCCATTTCTTATTCTGGACTTTCTGACCAAAAAAACGTCCCTAATGATCTGCATACATATGTAAAAAGTCTCTATTAGATGTTTGCCTTAATGAGGAGGGTGACACTAATGAGAATATCTCAAGGCTAACCCTGTTATAAGGTATAATGCATCATGAATTGTCATCTCGCTACAGGGGGTGACAGTTAGAGGATGGTTGCCAGATCTGAATACGCTTATTTAGCTTCTATGGCACATGAAAGTGAAGTATAGACGTATCTCTGAACGCTGCTGCTGCGTTGTATATCAGTCGAACCCGTGTTACTGTGCAGTTCAAGGTAAACTGCCATTCTCCTTATTTCTTCATTTTTCTCTCAGCCACAATGAAAAAAATATAGTATCAATATAAATCTAGCTGCGGGCCTCTAACAGTGTGTATAAAATAATGAAAAAATGCCAGCAGCAGAGATCTAAAACACCATTGGGGTTGCTATGCCAACAAAGCTTCAGGATATAAAGGGACCCCCTCAACAGGCCCAGATCTTAATCCTGACATCTGTGCAATCAGCTCAAGCTCTGGTGTCAACAACATAGCATCCTCTTCACACACTTCAAGTGGCTCCAGCCTCACATGCATCTGAAGAAGCTTCAAGGAATCACTTTTCTAACTTTACCTTTTAGTTTCCTGATAAGTCAGGCACCATATTTATTAGATGTATTAAAACTTGGGAAACTAATTGACGATGTAATAGAGTTTCAGTACCGTTGAAAGCCAAATTCAATATGTTGTCCTGCATCAAGTCATTGTCTCTTCAAAAGCCTGCCATGTGTTGAAAGAATTACGTTAGGATATGGATAACGTATCCCTGCTTAGAGGATGTGTAAAAAACATGTAATGTTCTATAAAAAGGTGGCATTTTTAATCCTCATGAGGGATTAACTTTAAGATTCTGGTAAGGCTACATGATATCTCCAGGATAAATTGAAAAATGTTACTAGGGATTTTGCTCTATCTATACAATAACACAATTTCAGTTTAAATTATATACAGCTAAGGGCTCATAACATGTAAATAAGATTAAATAAAGTCCAAATAGATTGGAGTATTCTGCTCCTTTTTCGAGCTTGTGGTCAAGAAATGTCTATACACAATCCACAATGAACACCCAGATACTTCACATTGTTAGACAGCCTAATATGCTCAGCCTGGAAATGTTTCATAATTACAGTGACTGGATGACATTTAAGGGCTTATCACTTCCTCTTTAACGTCCATTTTAATATTATTTCATTGAAGAAATACATAACTGATAACACCATGGACTTAATCGAAGAAAAATACAAACACACCATCAATAACTTAAGAAAGACATTGGAGCAGCAGTACACTGCAATATGGTGAGTTGCTGAGTGTTTATACACCAATTTGAGCAGCATTGAGTTATCTTGAATGATTTAAAGACAGAGGAGGTTGCAGTTGTCATATATCATAATAATAATAATAAATTCGATTTTTAAAGCACCTTTCATTGCTAACAGCAATCCCAAGGTGCTACAGGAGGCATAATAAAAACAAACAAAATAAACAAAAGTTCATAATCAATATAAGACATCATTAGAAAAACGCTGCAGCCAATCACGTGGCTTATAGAAATATCCGGCTTTAAAAGCACCCGGTATAATGAACACGCCTTTTTGTCCAACACTATTACGCAAAAAATGTCTGCACTTTGGATTATGTTTTGCCTCAAAGTGCTTTGTGGTTTATTTTGTGACATTAAACAAGAAACACCCTACGCTTCTGGTCCTCCGGGGAAAACGGAGAGTGGTTTATGTTTTACTATGTTTGACAGCGGCTGCTATAGAAAGCATACACCTACTCCACAAATCGATCCGGTTGTAGCGGATGTTTTTTTTTTTAAATGAGCCCGGCTTTCATTCGGATTTGTCTCAGGGTATATTAGTCAAAATGAAACATATTTTCGAAATGTATAAGATTTGCAAGAAAACCCCTAATTTAATAGGGTAACACATGTTATCAATGGACGGATCATTTTTTGCAAAGGTGAATCCCCAAAACCAGTGAAGATAAGATCTGGAGCTATTTAGATCTGCTCACACCAGCAGGTCGAGGAAATACACACAAGTCGTGCCGAGACGTTACGGATTAGTTCTCTTACCTCCAACACACAGCAATGACATTTCTTAAATGCGCTAATAGTGCAGGGTCCAGCTTCTTCACCAGCTTCCGTAATTGAGCCAATCTGCGCAGAATTCAGCCTGAGAATGAAGCGTCGGGCTGGAGATGGAGAAGCCAGCCGTCAGTGGCAGAGACCGGGCCTGGCAGGACTCTTCGGCCTGACAAAAATAAAAGATCTTTACACTTCGAGAGTGAACGCCAGCTTCGCAATCCTTTCTGTCTTTTTTATGGCCTGTCTTCCTTATTTTAAGACTCTTTGCCCCCCTTTTCTCTCAGCTTTCCGCTGCCCAACACACAGCCATCTTGTTCAGCTTCAGCACCGGCGCTGCGTGGACAGCTCCTGGCAGTGACGTCAGGGCGGCGTGATGCTGTGTGAAGGGAGGGGGGGGGCTAAACATCTGATTATTAGCCTCTCCCTCTTTTTGTAACAGACGTCTAAATATCTCAGAGAATCCTTGGAAAATATTACAATATGAACATGAGGGTATCTAGGGAAGATTACTCTGAACATTGATTTTGACAATATGACTAAGCCTTACTTTGAATTAAACAGAGATAAGTGAGTCAAATACATTATTCTTGCTTGACAGCAAGTGTTAGTTATAGGGGAACATATGGAGTCCTCTGGCAGAGCCTAACCATGAAATTATGTTTTAGCAGTAATAAAGTAATTATGATGAACATTAATAATGCAGCTTGGGTATTTAGTAATAGTTGACTAAAAGTAGATGAATTGTTGGTGATAAAATTACACTTTAGATCATGTCATAAACAACACATCTTTGTGTCCTCTTGTGGCCCAAGAATCCCATCGGCAAAATCAGTCATTATTCACTTTGTTGCATAATTACTGCAGGTCATATACTGTATATATATATATATATATATATATATATATATAGTCTATGGTCAACACCTGCATCCTTTCAGTAAGACTTTTTCCCCCAGTGTGGGCCCACAGCTTCCCCTGTTGGAACAAAACATTTACTGCATCTTTACAGACTCCTCCAGGGTCTGGTTCAAAATAAAAATAAACGTGTTTTGCTAGTTCATTCCATTTGATTTGACAGGAAAACAATAGTTGTCTTGTAAAAATAATTACACATATCTCACAACCATTTTTTAAAAAAGCAAAATTGCACACACTCACCTTTTGTTGAAAACTTTTTCAGTTTGGTTTAATGAACATTTCAGAAAATACAAATATATATTGTTCGGACAGCGTGTTTTGTCCATTAAACAACCTAACATCATCAATTTAAACACACAAATTCAAACCCCAACATTTGATTTTCACTCTTTCCAGTTGTTTTGTTTTTAATGCATTCTAAATAATACAACATACACATTCCCCAACCCCCGTAATGCCAGTTGGCATTCATTGTAAACTAATAATTAGGCTTGTCTTATTGGACAGGTCATGTGCCTGTAGGTAACTGCTGACACTACAAAAGGGTAAGGGTTGAACCAATTTGACTTAATTAAAGCTGTTTAGAAGATATAATTACCTTATATTTAATGAAATTCCTGAACTATAAAAACCCTCATCAACGCCACAAATATCTGCATTTACAAATGCTCTTGTGCATGAATAGATACATTCATAAAGAAGAGGCAGGGCCTGCGTGGGTGGTGTTTTGAAGTGTTTTCACCCTGGCCTTTACTATCCTTGAGATATCCACATGCTCTGTTGAATGGCACTGATTTGACCTAATCCTGCCGAGCCTGTATCGTGTCCCTGTGATGCAGCAGTGGGAATCCATCCGGCTGGAGTCTCCTCATAACTTCTCACTGACAATAGATTAAAGCCCACATGTTAGTAAATTGGAAAATATTCAGACATAGATATATTATATGGGTTTCAAACCTTGAAAGATGCGTGTTGTAAATCACACTTGACTATGTTTTTGAAAAACGGTGCTCCTTATTGGTAGAATCTTAAGAGTAAACCAATGGTCCTCATGTTGGAACCACTACAATCCTACGAGTAAGGGATATATAAGTTACCCGTCCAGATGAGAGAGGACTTCGCAGAGCTGGGAGAGCAGTGCACGATGCTTGTGAGGGTTTCCCTCCAGAACTCCATTGAGACGAGTCAGGTATGAGTCCAAGTTCCCATGAGATGCTGTCTCACCTGTATCTGTTCAGAAAAGTCACAACATAATTAAATCAAGACATCCACTCAAGTTGAAATACATTTACATTCCAGCACGGTTTGGCAATCCAACGCTTAGGGTTTTCTCAAATGTATTAATGAAAATACTTTTTACTCGTCGATTAACATTGCTAACGGCACCAATGCATTAATACTACGGGACAAACTCTAGCATCAAAATACGATAAAATGGCAGAACATTTCCTTTATCATCCATCTTTCTTCATTCTGGCATTTCTCCTGTGAAATAATAGTTGCTGACCTGGTAAGGGGACTGATGACAGACTGTTGACCAGTGTGTGTTTGATGGCCAGCAAGTGTTGGTGAAGAGCCTGCGTCCGCTTTTCATCCAGCCCCAGTTCAGCCTCCAGGCGCTCTTTAGCATTGTACATGTCCTTAATGTGTCGTTGAAGCACTGAATTCTGCTCCTCAAACTCAATGTTGGCTTTACGAAGCCGTCGCAACTCAGCCTCTCGAGCTGGAACCACAGAGGGAGACATTTAACAGGAATTGAAGATAATGTTTCGTAAGATACGTTGGACGATATATTGGAATGAGCATCATCAGTTTTTCTCTACTGTTACCTTTGTTCTGATCAAGGAACTCTTCTGTGAAGATAGGAATGTCGAACCTGCTTGTGAGGTCAGAAGCCTAAAGGACATCAACAGCAAATGGACAACTTCGATGTTTAAAATGTATGTAAAAATACATTGCAGAATAGACAGTGGCAAAACATGGATGTCATGTACCTTTGATATAGGTGGCTCTGAACGAGTGCTGATGATGACAGACGGAGTGTCCTCTGCAAGATAACGTTGCATGTGGTTATTATAGCACACAATGCATGGAGTAAAAAGCTAAGCAGTTTCTTGCCATTTGCCCGTGTGATGTTTTCTATATGTCATTAAAAAGTAACTAAAGCAGAGTCGTCACCTTTCTTGATCCTCTTGTCTTGTATCTTAGCAGTGGTGATCTGAAAGGCCTCCGTCTGCTGATACTCCTTCAGTTCCTGAGCATACTGCATCTTCTCCCGTTCTGCCTCGTCAAGGTAGCGCTGTCATTGCAAATAATGTTGGGAAGCTTTAATGAGGGAACAGTTCTTCCTTTAAAATCTTTTTCAGCATGCACATTTCACAACTATCAAGAATAAAAGCACCGCTGATGAGAAATATCTTTAATAAAAAAATAAATCGAACAACAGAAATCAATGTCTTCAACATCTTTATGACATTTCGTCCAACAGGCCAAGTAATACAGCATCATTAATACCCACTGCTCACAGTCATGGGTTGTGCTGAATATACTTTGTTAAAAAAACAACTTGTGACATGCATACTTGCAAAATATGTATAACTACCTGTTTGTCATTCAGGGCCAATCGTGTCCACTCTGCTCCAAGTCTCTTGGTGATTTCTGGGAAAGGTAAGTCAGGGTATCTGGCCCGCATTTGTTCCCGACGTTCATTTAGGAAGCGGACATATCCAGTTACTGGTGCCTTGGGACCATTTGGTAGCACCTTCTTTCTCTTCTTTCCCTTCGGCCAGCCTCTCTTCTTTGGCTGGAGAGGGGGGAAACAACGGGCAGGTCATCGTCAACGCTCAATGTCAACAAATAGGCAATATATAGCTTGTTCTGACCGACAAAAACGGTCTAAAACTACAACAAAAAAATTACAATCAATGATGGCTATAAAGAGCAGCAGGTATTCCCATTTGAAAAAGCTAAACCCCAAAAAAAATTTATTCAAACATGTCTCAAATGATGTATAAAATAATCAGAAATGTTTCGTCATTTATGTTAGATTGATCAATGAATTGGTCCAACTACACGACCACATCACCCCTATCCTCCATGACCTCCACTGGCTCCCCATCAAACACAGCATTGACTTTAAAATATTACTTTTCACTTTCAAAGCCCTCAACAACCTTGCCCCCCCCTACCTCTGTGACCTCATCCAACGACACACCCCCACCCGTCGCCTCAGGTCTGCTGAAGCTAACCTACTGCAGCCCATCAGGACAAAGCTCCGGACCTGGGGTGACAGGGCCTTCGCAGCAGCCTCCCCCACACTCTGGAACTCCCTCCCCAGCCACGTAAGATCCGCCAACACTCTCACATCATTCAAACAATCCCTCAAAAACTCACCTTTTCACTCTTGCCTTCAACTCCTAATCAACTAACCCCTTGCCATTATTCCACCTAGCTTAGCACTTTCTACTTTTGTTGTTATTTTGTTTTACTTGCTTGTAAGCGCTTTGAGCACCAGGAAAAGCGCTTTATAAATGTAATGTATTATTATTATTACTCTACACACCTCATGAAGGTTTTAATGTTAGGTATTTGTTGACATTGTTTCACAGAGGTTTTATTTAATCTATATGCTCATTTAGAATCTGGTTAGTGGTGCTGTTGACGTGAATTGTGTAAAAATGAAAGGTATTTTTTATGTCTGCGGTCAATTTTAAGTTTTATATACGAACACGGTTTGTACTGATTTCTATTATTCTGCCCAAACTGTTCATAGGATATCCTCATAAGAGCATAAATACTCCACCTGCCTTGTACAATTAAATACATTTCTAATAATATTTTTCCTCCTGTAACAGTGTAACGCTAATGAAGGTAGAATGTTTTGCAAGGTGTGTGTAATTGCGTAATAGTGTAAAATAAAATGGCAACTGAGTGTAGAGGTAACAGTTTAACTCCTAATGATTACATTTTTGGTTAGACAGCCTTCGTCCAACAAGATAAGATAAGATGGACCTTTATTTAAATGTAACCCTGTGGGGAAATCCAGGTGTTTAAAGCAGCAACAGAGGGAGAGTGTAAAACAGGACAGTAAAGATTCTCAAGAGGATAATAACATTTAAAATAACATTATATAAGTAACTGTTAAAACGATATATCGTTATAAGGTCAAACGTTGATAATTTGAATGAACATATATACATATTTGAGTCCGGGTTATTTCATATATTGACATGTATGTGTGCAGATGGGAGTGCAGGTCAAAGTGACTTGTACAAACAGTGCAAGGGAATAAGGAGGCTTTATTCAAGTAATTTACAAAGCGAGTTGTTAATCCTTGTCACATGTAACAGTACTCACCTCCTCTGGTGGTTGGTCTGCTGAATGTGAAGGTTTGGACTGATTGGATGCATCACTCTGCTCTTGTTTGATCCCTCCCATG